ATGTAGGTAAGAAATGTAACATGGGTACGGTAGGGAAATTTAGTTTTTTGTTTGTTCAAATGCAGCAACATTTAGTACAGATTTAGTATAGTACAGAGTACAAAAAAACAATCCAAGAATTTCCTAATTACTTCTATGAAAATGAAGATTTATTTAACACTTGAATTTCTGGTTGTGTTTAATTGTACCCAAATGTTCAGGTAAGAAGATGAGATTCAAACAAACATTATAAAAAGTTTTGATTTGTCTTTTTGTGAAAACTTTTAGATTAGAAGAGATTTATCCAAAATAAAAAAAAATGTTATAAAATGGACATATTTTTAAAAAAAAATTTTTTTTCTCAAATTTCCTCAAAAATGACAACAAATTTTGTAATAGTCATGGACTGTAATTTTTCGTAAATTTCCAACTTTAATTAGGCTTGTGTTTCATTTATTTCTAGATACATTTACGAGATATGCTTACAATGTCTGCCACCAACCCATTGACCTAAGATAATTAACTTAACACCTCTCAGACCTAGATCATAATAGATAATTAAATATTCATGAGAGCCCCAAACAATTAGAAGAAACAATTTCTTAGTTCCTTATTTAAAAATAGATAAGATTTTATAATAATTGACAGGTGAGGAAAAGAGAAAAATATCCTTGATGTTGAACATAGTAAAGCAAAGGTTACAAACTAATTGATTAGTAAGTCTGTCACAATAGAGATTTATAACACAATAGCTAGAATACAAGGTCGGAGATATTTGCAAAAGTTTAGTACCACTATGTTTTTGTAATAAAAAATGACATAAGACTCAATTTTTACAAATTGATTTCTATGAGATTTTGAGCAAAATAGATTACATCAGAGATAAAAAAAAATACCAATGTCATGGAATGAATCCCATCAGTTGATAGGATTTGCTGGGAAAGTGTTTCCTTTAATCAAAAATTGATGCTGTTTTAATGAAACGTTTTTTACAGAATTTGAATAATTAAAACTTGTGATAGTTGTAATTCTGAGCATGGAATCACTAATTGTTAAGTTTTAAGTAGAACGATAACTTAGTATCAAACCTTCTTTCTTTAAAGCAATTTACATCCGCTTGCCCAATCTGGTTTTCAAAAGAGCAGATCATGTGCACACACTCAGAAACGAGCGATTATGTGTACCAATATGGAGGTACTAATTTTGTTCGCCATGAAGGGAGCAGGCGGTACATTCACTTGGCTAACACAGACAGTCCCCGAACTCTCAATAGAACTAAAATAGGGGAAATCAGAATAAAATTATGGTCTAATCCTAACCTGGTACACATACTATGGGAGTACCCAGAAACATACAGGAGGCTGATCTCTTGACTTAGTAGTTAAGGGAAGCCACTGAAGAGCAAATTACTGAAACTGAAGTTATGACTCTTTCGATACTGATTACCAGAACGTGATAAAAGGGTAGTTTATGGTGATGATGAGAGCAATATGTTTAAGTTTGTTAAGTTATATGATGATCGGCACATTAAAATTGATAAAGTCTGCAAAGTAGTGAAATTAAAGTGACAGGATAAGATAAGTGATAAGATTCAAAGGAGCTGGTCTATAGATTTGTTAAAAGCATTAAAATTTTGTCAAATCATGTTGTCAGACAAACTTATCTTGATAGGAAATATCCTTCAAATTCTCTACTACGTCAAGAAATGATTTTAAGTGAAAATATGACAATGTCTCGAAGTATTTATTGCCTTGGACCAGGGATGGGCAAAACCAAATATTCCACTATTCTGAAAAAATATTTTTGAATATGGAATACAGAATACATTCCAAATTGGGGGTTTATTTACTTAAATCACTATATCTTCATGATAATCACATTTAAAACGACATGAATATAAAGGTCATTGTTTTCTCCATGTTGTTTTTATCAGTTGAGATGAGATATCTTACATTTGATCTACATTTGAAATATAAATATTCTAAATTATTTATACATTAAAAGTGTTTTTTTATATGAGGTATAATGAAATTCTAATGTATTCAAATAGTGTTGGTTAAAAGCAATAAATAATTTGTTAAATAAGATATTTCATGTTTTTGAACAAACTTATCTTGATAGAAAATATCCTCCAATTTTTTTTTTACGTCAAGATTTTTTTTAAGGGTGAATAATTATGACGATATCTTAGAGTAGTTATCAGATGCTGCGTTGACAGTTTTGGCTCAAATGTATTTTTTATTGCTCGACTCATTTGATATAAGGATTGAATAAACAATGACAATCTCCTACAATCATTTCATGAAAATTCAAGGCAGATCATGAATTTTTAAAAACTTTGATGGATTGAGCAAAAAAATCATTTTCTTTTTATAGTAGGCCTACTGCTTCCATTATAAATACGAATATCTGCAAAGTTAATATGGAAAGACAAAGCAAGGTATTTTAGAAAGAGTCATAAAAGAAGAAGTTGCCCCTTAAAATCTGGGTGATTTCAATATTCTGCATCTTAAACTATTGTTTTAGGCAGATAAGGGGTATACTCATGTAGATCCAAAATAAATAGAAAAATTGAATACATGCACAAATTCTTGATTTTAAGAAAGAATCAGCATATTTTCATTTGAATATTTGAGCGTTTTATATCTCCCCTAATCAGAAAAAATTGACTCATACAGTAAAAATGAAAAATGGATCAAAATAGGGTATTTAGAAAAGTGAAGTTTTAAGCGAAACCTGTTTGAAATTGAAGTGCAGTTTTAATAACAGCAAATAGATGTTACACATCGGAGAAATAAAATTATTTCTTGATTTTGAAAATCTTGATGAATAATCTTCATTTAAAAACTTAATATTCTGAGTCACAATTTTCGCAATCAGATAAGCTAGTCAAGTTGGTTTTAATTTAAAATACGGGTAAAATCAAAGCAAAGATCTTCTTCGATCACATCATTTTATGTACAGTCTCTTTAGAAATTAGAATATTTATTGAATACAACCCCTCCCCGTGCATAGCCAGTTTTATTTCATAATTAAATTAAAAAAAACTTTAATAAAATTAGCTTTTACAGACGAAAATAAATAAAAATACATATTTTTCTTACACAACATTTTAGCCTGATAAGACATAATAAAATGTCTTGTGTAATAGATTGGTGTTTCATTATAATTTTCCCAGCAAAAGCATGGCCCTTACAAGACTTAGGCAGTATCAGCCCTCATTTAACATACAGTCCCATGGTTGACTGAAACAGGAGAAAGTTAGACAGTATACAGTAAATATAGTATTATCAAGTCAGACATGGCGTTGAAAATCATATTATATCAATAAAAATTTTGATTCACATCAGACAAAGGATTTCACTACCTCCATCAATCACTATAGCAAATTTTTGGGTTCAACAGAAATGAGGGTTCTGGGTATTGAACATAATGAAAGGCTAAATTCACATCAAGTCATAACACCCGTGCGCAAAGAAATACACAAAGCAGTATGGGAAAGAAGCCTCGTAACACTCAACTTGCTTTCAAAAGATTCTTCACACTTCGTTTGGCTGCACCTTAAGTTTGTTTTTAGTTTAAACAATGGAACAGAAAATATTAAAAGCAAATTGTTTTAATGTCGAATGTGAAAGAATTATATGAAACTGTGTTAGTGCTGGCCGCTGCAGATGCTCGGATTGAAACCTGTCTTATTTAGGGTGTATGAAGGCTTGGATGTATTTTCCATTTCAGTTATTTATTGTAATCATTTGCATGAATGAAAAAAAGCGATTCAATTGGTTGCTGGATTCCGTAGGCTATACCCAAAGTGAAAAGATTCTCAAAATAGTGTACATTTATATACCAGTGAATACTACTATATAGCCTTGTCAAATGTGAAAGTGAAAAGGCTCTTGTTATTACTATTTCTATACCTGTAATATTATGTTCTGCATTTTATATGAGAGTTCATAACTCTCAGATTCTATTCTGCTAATTGTTTATGCACTTTTACTATTTTAATAATTTGATAAAACATGTTGATCACATAGTACAAAAATATAAAATGGCTTGCATCCTACTCAAATACTTTGTGTGGTGTTTTTTAATTTTTTCTCTGAAAAGGACCTAGAAAAGCACCATTTAATAGGTAAAAAGATATTATTCTTAGAAGGAATGAATATTGGAATCCTTCTAGGCGAACAATCAACAGACTAGCATTCGGCAAAAATGTCCTTGTGTTATTTTTATCCCTAAAATAGATCCCTAGATAAAGGATAGACAGATACGTTGGATGATTCAGCAGTGAATTATGAATTTTATACACATTCAATAAACAACACAAATCACCAGGTTTCCCTTCATTATAAATTCAGGTCAAATTTGGCATCATGAAGCCACAACATACTTTATATAGCAAGGGTTCAAGGAAAATCATGAATTATGAAAACAAAACAAATTATTCATCAAATAAAATTCCGAAAACTTTTTCAGATTCCAAAATTTATTTTTGGATATTACTTTGATCTCAGAATACAAATACCATGTTCAATAAGAAAATTGCAATACCGATTGTTTGGTCACAGTAAACAACTGAGACATGAAAGTGAGGAATGGATAAAAATAAAAGGCTATGGTGCATTGGTGTTATTAATAATAAATAAATATATTAGTTTTCATTTTATTTTCAACTCAAAAGATCACACCTTTCGAAATTGTGTTTTGAAAGTCAAAAGAACATGTATTAAACATTTTAATGTGGAATATATCACTCTTCATTTATTGGTCAGTTGGTGTTATTAAAATGCTTGCAAACATCTTTATATTATAATATTGAATAGTACCTAATTAGTTTCTATGTAATTTTTCAACCTAAATGATGCTTGACAATTATAAATATGTTTTTTGAAATATGTTATATCATATATGATTATAAATATGAGACCTTGGCGTCCATGTTATTTATTCAATCAGCTCTTGTCTAATTGTTCTACTACAAAAAACCTTCTATTTGATATTGGTGCTTTTTCAGACAAATACCTAGATAGGCATATGCAATAGGCCTATATAAAGTGCATTATTCAAGCACTTGGTTGTGAAAAAGCACCGAACACCAGGAATACCTACAATCAAGGGGATTAGTGATGACCGGATATAAAATATTCCTCTCTGTTATCTCATTCATATTTTATCTGCGAGTGGGCGATTGTGGAAAAACTGCAACAAAAGTTGGACTTGCAGGAATAACAACGGTAAATATAAATAGTGATTTCATTGGCCGTTATTTGATGAAAAAAGATTAAAATTCCCCGACCTTGTTTTGAATGTTCAGAAATCAGCTAAACTTGAGTAATATCCAAAATGTTGATATGCAAGTTTAGGTATAGGGGTAATTATGTGCCCAATTGCTTTCATTATTGAGTCGCAATATTTATATAATATTTATACAGATAGAGTTCAGTATTAGAATAATTTACATTCTATTTTTAAAATGGACTTGTGGAATAACAACGGAAAATGAAAATAGTGATTGATGATGTATGATACTTTGGTGTATAAATATGAAAATTCCCAAAACTAGTCTCGCAATCATAAAATATGTGAATGTTCAAAATAATGATAATAACAAGTTGCGAATAAGGATGGATATAGGTTCCCAATCGCCATTAGGTGATTATCGGGCTGCCATATTTATATAATACAGGGTGATCCAAAAAAAGAAGCCATAACTTTAATTACTTCCATGAAAATGAAATAAATTATTTAATTTTGTTTACACTTGAACTTCAGTTTGTGTTAATGCTACCGAAGAGTTTCAGTAATCTAGGAAGTTTTACACAAAAGTTATGTTCTCTATGGCATATGTTCCAAACGATCTCCTTGGTTTTGGAAACAGTCGTATTGGTTGCACAAAATTGTCAATCACTCGCCTGGTTCTGTTTTTTATTCTGTATTCACACAAAAAAGTTCAGTATTACTTTAATTTAATGAAGGTATTTTGGCATTGCCAAATTTTCTAGACGTTAGAATTCAATACGGATCATTTTGAATTGGCTTCGTACCGAATAGCCTTTAGCTTTAGAATGGGCCATTTTTTTTAAATTTCATTACAACTTATAAGGAAGAAATACAGCAGTTCAACTTTAGTTCGTCATTTCGTAAGAAAGGAGCGAAGATCTGTTGATTTTCTTCGATTTTATTAAACAAAATTGAATTTCTGACAACATTTCTTTCTATATTATGTTATCCGAATCCTATCTGTCAACCACACGCTCCAAAACTACTCTAATATTCATGAAATGTGGAATTATGGAGAGAAAATTATAAGTCGTGAGGATTACCCAAAACCACAAGAGTCTGACAAAAAGTAGCTTCGATGGATTGATATAATAGTGACATATCAGACCATACTTAGATTAAGTATTAAAATTAATCTACTGTACTTAAGATATCTATGAAATAAAGAATTTCAATTGTTTATTCCATGCTATAAACAACATTGATAAAACATAAGACGTATTGTGAGTTGTGAAATAATAAAATTTGCCTAAGATGTTGTTATGCATAATAGATTGTAAAAAAATTATGATAAAATTTCATTTAGCTTCAATTGATAAACTGTTAAGCTTAGAAACTAACTAACCATCGGGGCTTCAATTTAAAAAAAAACTTGTAACACCATATTGAAATTAGAAACTTTTGTTTTTGTAGTATGACTCTTGTTGATTTATTGAGTGAACAGTGAAAAAATACTCAGTTACCATTTGGCAATACAATTTTTTTATTAATCAAAATCTTCCAATTTGCTCTTGCTACATTGCGATTGATTATAAAAATAATTTTATAATTTTAATAAGACAATGTTTATAAAACAGATCTGCCTCGCAAGGCAAAAATGATTCCCTATTGAGCACTCGTAGAAGCAAGCTTCATCAAAAACCTATAACAAGAATATTGGTCGAAGACTTATCGATCGAAACTGTGGTTTTGATTTACGACTCTATAGTGACACCGCGTGTCCCATCACTAATTAATTAATAACTCGCTAATTATACGACATAATTCATCCAAAATCAATAGGCTTCTGGTCCGAGATAAGATGAATGCACCTGCAAAATTTGAAGCAGATTCAACCTCGCTTTTGTGAGATATCGCGTGCATCTAACAGACAGATATACAGACAAATACCTATCAACCAGTGTTCACTATTAGCGCACTTTTTTGCGAAAATTGCGAAGCACTTTCGCAACTCTTTTTAGGGACTGCGAAATAGCACTTTTTTCCGATTTTGAAGAGAAATAGCACTTTTTTCCGATTTTGAATGGAATAAAAATTTAAAGTTAACAAATATTTTCGAGTATTAAGTTGACAAATAAGTAACATACTAGTACTTTTGTAACTCAATTCTGCATATCAAAACAATATTTACCGGAATTCTAACCTATGAGATGCAGACATAGGAGATGAAGCTTTTGCATTAACGGCAAAATTCTTGTTTATAATATGATTATTATACAAGCACACCGATTCCGCTTCTCCCGCAAAAACGCTCTGCGTCTTTGAAACCAGATGTTGGATTCCTACCAGTGCCTTTCTTTGAACGAAAGTGGTCATGTGACTATCAATGATATCGTTGAATTCAAAATGACTATAAAAGTGTTAGTAAAGTGTTATAGACACTTTGGATGTATTGTGACCAAAGTGCACGATTTTCAAATCAGACGAAACTTTTAGCAGCATGTCACAGATTTGCAAAATCACCAAATTCACAAAATACCATTAAGTGCCATTTTATTGTAATCACAATGTTGAAAGCACGTGGCATTTTGCGATATTTACACATCTATTTCTCATTGATATGCGAGTACGGGTGGGCAAAATTCAATATTTTATTGAATTGAATATTTTTAACGAGTACCGAATAACAAATATTTTTGGAACGTCGGTTGAAACATTAAAAAATCGGCAACAAAGCCATTTTACTGGTTAATTCCGTTGTAATCGCTAATTGTTCTTGTCACCGATCGTTTTGGCGGCGATATCCAGGTTTTGTTAATCTATATTCCCGCCCTCTCTTTTTTACAAATATGAATTCTTGCGGGTCGGCGGACATCGAAGTTTTATATTTCGGGTTTACCCGTTTGTTCACATCGGCAACAGCTGTTGAAGACATTGAGGACTCAAATTAACATTTGCGTTGGCTTTAATATTACCTATCAAGATTTGTAAATTTACGGTCCCAATTTTATGCGAATGGTAATATTATTGTCGATACCGTGATGCTGATATTTATTAAGACGATAATTAACTTTCTCATGTTTTTCTATGGTGATAAACTTCGCAAATCTGAAATTGTGCCAATCCTGAATGTTGATTTAAAATAGTGATTGCAAAATTCGGCAATAAAGGCATTTCTGCGTGGTCATAGGACGAGATAACGTTAATGAACAGCACTTCTTTTACAGGATATTTTACGTATGCGACTCAATGCTAAAAAGATTGGACTCGAGTGCTTTTTTTTCGAGTGCTCGAGTGCCTAATAGAGGTCAGGCGCTAATTGTAACTAATTCCCTCAAGTTTCAACATGTTTTCAACAAAACAATACCCCGGCGATAATTATAGCTAAAATGTTAGCGAGCAATTCACAATTTTATTTATGGCATTTGAAATTCACCAGTTTCTTGACGATATTGATAATGTCACGCCCTAATTATTAGTGCAAAAAATACTCCCCTTCTTTCGCGGCGGTTTGACGGGTTCTTTGTTCCAATCTTCAGAAATTTCTGACACGGGAGGATATAGAATACTGAATCCGGAGGGTTGAATCCCTGTCGACTTACTGGTGATTTTCCGTTTTGGAATGCGTGGCCATTCTCTATTTTAAATTAAATGACGTTTCGCGGGCTAGAGTTCTCCCCGAAAATGATGTGTACCAGACGTTAGTTAGACGATAGATAAAACATTAGATTAATATATTTCATGACGCCCCGTTTTCGAAAATACAAAATTATATCGCAAAAAAATGCGTTTTGATACATTTGGAATGAAACATTATTTACGGTTAATTCAGATCATATTTTACTCTTCATGACACCCGGTATCCGAAAATACAGTTGTATTGCGAAAAATGTGTTTTGTTACATTTAAAATAAAACATTTTTGCGATTAATTTAGATCATATTTTATTTTTCAGGACACCCGTTTTCGAAAATACAAGGTTATATCGCAAAATGTGTTTTGTTACATTTAAAATAAAACATTTTTGCGATTAATTTAGATCAAATTTTACCTTTCACGGCAATCCGTTCCCGAAAATACATATAAAAGTACGAGTTTTATCACAAAAAAATGCGTTTTGTTCCATTTATTTTGCATTCCCAACAAAATACATATTTTCCCTAATTAAAGTCGTCGATGAATCTGTTCCTGTCGGTCAAGATTGACACACGTTTGGACGAGTGTGGGACGGTTTTTTGGTCGACGATAAATTAAAAAGTTGCCACACGTTATTTGTATAACGATAATAACTGAAAAATTAGATATTATAATAGAAGTGAATTTGTCTCAAGATGGTATTTTACTATTCTTGCTCACAGAAAATAAACACGCTGACAGGCTTGGTTATAATTGATATTCGTTTAATTTATTTTACACTATTAATAAACGCGCCACACCAAGTGCGGCCATATAAATTGCAGTCGCATCGGTATGGACTGTATGTTTTTGGCGCTCTCACATTAACTATAATTTTCAACAAAACAATACCCCGACGGTCATTGAAGCTGAATTCGTTACCGAGTAATTCACAATTTTATTTACGGAATTTGCGATTTCAAAATCTCACTTGACGATTTTGATGATGTCATGCCCTAATTATTACTGCTTAAATGCCTCAAAATACAACAAATGTAATCATTTTCGACGATAACAGGCGCAACAAAACGAAATTCGCGATTGTTGCGACTCTCTCTTGTTTACAATTTTAACATCCCGCCGGCCATGTATGGTCGAATAAAATGTTCACATATTCGAAACATGACTTGGCCAAGGATGGAAGGGATCACTAAAGAGCTAATAGAAAGTACATACGCGAGGGTATGATATTAATATCGAGAATATTTGTGAGCATATCACAGGACGGAAATATTTTGCACCCGGCTGTTTGATGGCAGAACAACGATACGCTAAAGTTAATTGCTCGAATACAGGAAAGTATTTATTTATCATCTCACTTGCGAACATCGAGGTTTGGGCGGAATTGTACGATCGTGTTGTCTTTCTTAAATAATAACTTTTTCAATAAATGTTCATTTTACTTTTGCGTCTTTATTATATGTCGGGTTTTCATTAATTTTAAATCGAAATTGTCTGAAATACTCCAACAGGTGTATAAGTACAATAATAATAGTACTTACCAGGGAAGTTTAATACACACGATGTGTTAAGGGCGTCGTAACTCCCGTTTTTTAATTTGATTGTTTTACATTCTGCTTAAAAAACAACGTCGTTTTGCAGTCATCTAACGTAACTCTCGCGACCAAATCTTTTTTGTTTTGTATGGCATCGTCTTGGCGACGAATTTATTGTCGACTGAGTTTTAATTGTGTTTTAGGATAAGTTATTTTCTGTTTGTTGGTTTCTAAACTTTACAAACGTGGGTAGCAATTACTATTAATGTGAGATTTTTGTGCTTATGAACGATTGAATATCGCGACTGGATGTCCGATATCTGAGAATGCGTATATCAGCGTTCATGTGGTCGAATAAAAATTATTTATCAAATGGATTGGTATTTCGAGAGTAAATCGAGACACTCTCAAAATTATTTGGGATCCACTATCATATCATTCGTTTATTTTTTATATTCATGTTTTTTTCAAAAATCACCCTCGTTATATTTCGTGTACCTTCGCAAAAGAAAACTCTTTGGTGTCATCGTTCCTATTAGCGTAATTGAAATATATGGAAACCTCGCAAGTGGCGTTGTGATGCGAATATTTGATACTAGGTCAGCAGCATTACAAAGAGTGCTATTTATGAATGCTGAAAGTACATGACATTACTAAACATTTTGCCAATATATGATGTTTTCTGCCTGATTTAAACTAACTCGCACGCAAACCAAGGCATGTCGACATTTAAAAATTACTTGTCTTTGGGTAAGCTCTGAAATAGTATAATATAAATGTAAATGAGAAATTAGGTCACACTAGCTCACGAAAGGGGAGGAAAAGTGATCTTGTGTAATATTTCGGAGAAAAAAGTACAAAAGGAAAGTAGGTCAACCTATTTCCTAAAACAGGGGAGTATCCTGTGTAATATTTGGGAGGGAACGTAGGTTAACCTATCTTTTAAAACAGCGGGTGGCGACTTTCAAAGTGGTTCAAAATCACAAATTAATAATTGTCAGATTAGGTTTAGGGATAAATCGAAAAGTTGAATTTCCAGCGAACCTAACCCTAATTAGTTGATTGCTATTTATATTTGGGGGGGGGGGGGGGATTATTTTGCACGGGATTTGTACAAATGATCCACCCTGTAACTAATATGGTTTCCAGACTACGTGTATCAATCGTTGTCTGTTAAATGGAAGGAGTAACAAATGTGAAAGCCTTTGCTGTTCACGCGAGTAAGCAACTGACACCGTGATACATTGCATGAAAGTTTTGTTCGCGGCAAGTGTTAGCAGATGTCTTTTCGTTGCCGATGAATTCGCTTGTTTTAATTAAACATGAATTCGCTTAAAGGGAACTCCGTTAACGGAAATGCTTCTCTTTAATTCACAATATTAACAGGGGGAGCGCTTTTTCGAGTATCTATGCCGTGTTAAATGGGTTATATGAAAGGCTAGAGCACCTAACTTGTTAAAATCGGCAAAAGCACTTTCGCACTTTTTTTTTCGACTGCAAAGCACTTTCGCACTCATAATTCGCTTAGAGTTAACACTGCTATCAACATACTTACCGATCAAGATCGATTAGTAATAAGACATGTATAATCATATACTACTACTAATAAATATATTCTTGATAGCAATCGCCAATCGGTTAACTTATAAAGAGGCGAAAACATAAAATTACCTTCATTTTCAGGTAACTGGAGGTGGTGGGGGAGGCTATGAGATGTCAGTTTCAGGAACTGGAATAGATTCATTGGAAAACGGACAAAATAGAACAAAGCAATTCAAAAATGTTGTGCAGAAACTAAATTATGATCTGTTTGTTCAGAATCGTAAGTATTATAACAAAACTAAATTATCATTGCAACAATTACAGCTGATGAAAACAAAATGTTTTTGTATACAGAGTCAATCTAGTTGTGCCTATATAAATCACAAATAATTGTTCTCCATGACTCCATCATTTACTCATAAACTATTGTATAAATGTCAACTCATTTTGTCAAAAATATTCCACCTTTTTAAATAATGCTGAACAGATTATGTTACTAACTGGACAATGGAATACAAACCTATAAATTCCTATAATATGTCGATAATCATTATTCACAGATATTTCTAAAGAATTTTATGATTTAGGCAGCAACTATTGCATTAATTTCAACTCATTCTATCTAAAATTGAACACATTTCCTTGGACATGATAAATTATTTAAAAAATGAATAATTCCAATTGTGAGCATCTGTCAGTGTCATTCACCAAGGGATTTCCTCAATTTTTTTCAAATAAAATTTAACATCTTCACTTCAGAATAATGTTCTGTACGAATGGCCACTGACATGTAAAGGGCTACTCTTTTTGATATGACGTAAATCTTCCCCCAAATGACAATGCAGAGTGGATTTATCACACACATAATGGCTTGGAAATTGAAAACTTTTACTTGTGAAGTCAAGACCTAAATTTTAACCACTGGGAAATAGGTCTTCAATTTTTAAACGATACTCATGAATGAAGTACCTAAATTTCAATTTTAAGTTTGTAAAATCAATAAACCACCAAAAATGATAAACGGAACAGCTAATTAAAACTTTTACCAATATTCACAAAATTTTTTTCCTCCTCGTTTTCTTTCAGAATATGACAAACAATTACGTCCTACAAAAGACCCAGCAACAATCACATCAGTATCTCTGGGTTTTACATTGAGACAGGTCAGTAAATGAACGTGCAAAAAACTTTAACTCTATAACACAATTCAAGTATTTTTATAAAAACGGTAAAAGTAAGAGGAGTACTGATTAGTTGCATGCGAAAGACCACTCCAGGGGCGTAGCCAAAAATTTTCAAACAATTGGTTGAAATTTATAAATGCCATGTTAGGCAATAGACACAAGCAGGAAACATGAGTTTTAAAAAATCTTGGGGGTCCGAGGAGCATTTCAATTAACGAAAAATTGCTCTGTATGATACTAAATTATTTTTTCAAATTTCAAAAGGGGCGGGGGTTCCGAGCCACAAAACCACCCCATGGGCCCCTGGGCCACTCATACACTAAGGGCTATGTATCAGCGTCAGGTCAGCATCTCCAAACCGAGAATCGTGTGTCAAGTTGGTCACAGGTTATCTGTGTATTGAGTGAAGTTCAACACAAATCACTGAGATAAGTCTCCCTGCGGGCTAAGAATTCGATAAATGGTGACTAAAGTACAGCTCATGTCTTTGGGAAGATTTGGAAACAAGTTTAAGAAAAATAGCTACCTTTATTGGTGCTATTGGGCAGTACATTATTATGGAAAATGAAATAAACTTAATAATACTCCACTATAAAGCATATATTATATATTACACTCAGATAGATAAATATATAGTTATACTTTATATGAAAGTTTACGCTAGGAGTGTGAAACCAACGAGTTTCATGTAGGTTATAGAGTCTGGGGAAATGTCTAGGTAATAAAGTCTTGGTGAAGCAATAAATAGTCAATATATCGATATTATTATGTATGATTTACTGTCATATTGAAATGTATCTGCTGTAGATAGAGAAATGCAAAATGTATGTTTTTCTGCAGATTTTAGACTTGGACGAAAAGAATCAAGTGTTGAAAACATTTTTATGGATGACACAAAGTTGGACCGATGAATTTCTGACATGGAATGAAACAGAGTACGAAGGAGTAACAAACAGTAAGTAAGAGCTACAAAAAAATCACAAGACAAAATAGAGCGCTTCAGAAGTGTGTGTACCAATATGGAGATACATAATTTTGTTTTCCTACTTTACATCAAGTTGTGTAAAGGGACTGAAACCTATGGGCAGGGGTTATTCATTTGGCTAACACAGGCAGTCCCCGAACTCGTAATAGAACTGAAATAAGGAATAATAGAATAAAATTATGGCCCGACCCTAACCTGGTACACATACTACAGGCAGTACCCAAAATAAAGCGAAAAAAGTGAAAACTGCAAAAAAAGGATAATATGTATCACAACCAACCAGTGTTGAGTTGAAGACCCTAAACCACGAGTCAAGTCGAGTCATGTGACATCCAAGTGCTGAATCGAGTCATTAACTGAGTTGAGTCTGTTCTGTAGACAGTTGGGTACTTCCATAGTATATGTACCAGATTAGGGTTAGGCCATAATTTTATTCTGATTTTCCTCTTGAAGCTTTCAGGTTGGACTGAGAATATTTTAGTTGTATTACGTCTTGGGTACTGTCTGTGTTAGCCAAGTGAATATACCCCCTGCCCATAGGCTTCAGTCCCTTTACACAACTTGATGTAAAGTAGGCGAACAAAACTAGTTGTCTCCATATTGGTACACACTACACATACTTCTGGAGCGCCGTTAGTTGAATAAAAGTTCAAGCTATTTCACATGGACGACTTAAGCTACTTTCAGTGTTTAATAAATTGTGACTTGAGTCCCTCACTCATACTGATCTCAACACACAAGGGGATTATAGTATAATATATTTTCCAAAAATTTCAACAAGCATTCTGATCAACTCCCAGATAGTCGGTTAAAATAAAAAAAAGAGCCAGCATTAGAGTCACATTTTCAAAAAATGTGGTGTAAAAATTTGACAAACACTAACACACAATTCCTTCATCTTCATCACGGTATAAAAATGTGGCATTTAAGACAGGAATCCCAAGCCCATTCCAATTAAAATTATTAAATATGAAATATATTCTATAGCTGGCCATATCATGTTTAACAAAGAACACTATCATAGAAGACAATATGCATATGATGAGATCGCTCAAAATAATAATGCAATGCTTCTAAATTACTGCCAAAATCAAACCTTCGAATTATTTAATATGTCAAGAATTAATTTCAATTTATTTCGAACGTCACTGTTACTACACTCTTGAAGGCTCTGAAGGTCTCTATGGCATATTGACTCTCCCAGCATAATCCCTGATAATTTCAGCAATAGTTTACAAATAAATCTGGAATTTCGTGAGTTTAATATCTCTTTCAATGTTTTTCAGTTTGGGTTCCATCCACATCAGTATGGAGGCCAGACATTGTAATATATGAAGAAACAGGCTTGCGAGACTACCAACCTAGGCTGCCTCATACCAGAGTTAGCAGTACAGGAAGAGTACGAGCAGCTGAACCATTGGTTATAGAAACAAGCTGTAGCATCAATATAGCTTTCTTTCCATTCGATTATCAGGTAAGAATGAGATTTGTTTGTGAAACTTATTATTAAGCTATTTGATTTTTCTAAGCAATTTGTAACTTGTTGCTGCACAATAACCAGTATTTAGTTTTCGATATTTTCCTTTCGTCCTGAAATGCCATTCTGAATTCAATTTTCACATTTTATATATAATATATACAATGTGTATTTTCAGATTGGTGAAAAATTTTATTACCAAACACTTGTTCCGTAGTTAACAAAGTGGAAAAAGAATGTAACTTTGTATAAAATTTGAATAAAACATATTCGTAGTATGCTGCACGAGAATGCAGCATTAAAATGCCCCAAACCAAGCTTTAGACATCACATTAACATGTAAATGGTTACTGATTATCTTTTGTAACCAATATAAAATTGAAAGTAGGGAAGCCAACCAAACTCTACACAATTGAGGGCGCTCCAGAAGTGTGTGTACCAATATGGAGGTAACTAACTTTGTTCGCCTACTTCACATTAATTTGTGTAAAGAGACTGATTACTATGGGCAGGGGGTATATTCACTTGGCTAACAAAGATAGTCCCCGAACTCGTAATAGAACTAAAATACGGAAAATCAGGATAAATTTATGGCCTAATCCTAACCTGGTACACACCCTATGGGAGTACCCAGTTTAGTGCCACTTCGAATAGCAATTGAGATCATGTAAGCAAATGAGAGCAATTTCCAAGGTAGTTGATATTGAGATCACATACATAGTGGCACCCAATAATTCTTTAAAGATTCAAATATGATTAATTAAACACATAGTATTATACTCAATTCAGAGATGTTCTCTCACATTCACATCCTGGACATTTCCAAGTTCACAAATGGATGTTTTTTCACCAAGGTGAGGTTTACTTTTCTTAATAATCAAGATGTTTTATGGTCGAAAAAGGCAGACTATTTCAGAAATTTGATTCAAATGATATAATTTAACTTTGGATGTGGATGAATTTAATGCACACGAATTTAAGCAATAATTATGATTAATACCAGCATTCAATTTGACACAGGCCTTTACACGAACTGGTGAAATACCATAGAATATGAAACTTTGCAATTTGTATTTACGAAACGCCAATTTTATTAACATTGTTTAAAACATCTGCCTAAGTCCTCAGTGCATATTTCCCAAAATTTCATCGAAGATGTTTTACTCAGTTTCATCATTTAATTAAAAAAGCATTCGAAAGTCTAGATGTGAACAGTACAAATGCATTTATGTTATATTTTGTTTGACCATCAGTGTGAAACACTATAGAAATATATTTGTGTTAGTGTATAGCAATACTCTTGAGTTCGCCAACCCTTGATCTAAAAGAATAGAGAATAGAATAGATATAGAATAGAAGAGAGAAGAGAATAGAGAAGATAGAAAAGAATAGAAAAGAATCTTTGGGTTGTCTCCAGAAGTATGTGTAACAATATGGAGGTAACTAATGTTGTTCGCCTACTTTACATTAAGTTTTGTAAAGCGACTGGAGCCTATTCACTCGGATAACACAGACAGTCCACAAACTCATAATAGAACTAAACTATAGAGAAAATCGGAATAATAAAATGATGGCCTAACCCCAACCTGGTACACATACTACGGGAGTATCCATCTTTGTTCTAACTACAGCATCCTTGCAGTATATGCACATGGGTCAACCAATAGAAAATGCATGAAGAATAGATATTCACGAATGTCCCAAATCCCACCTGCTTGCCTCATTCAAAATTTATTTATACACTTTCCTCCTCTATTAGCAGAGATACAAAAGCAATGTTGGACAACGTTGACCTTTACTTTGTAAAAACAGGAGAATGGACAATACAGAATGTTGAAATCGTGAAAACAGTAAGTTTTGTATTTCAATCCCAAGTAATTGACCAGAGAATTAATTAAAGAGTTTTATAATTGAATAAATGTGACATTATTTGTGTATGTTATTAGTTAATCCAGACATTTACTTCATTATATTATTTGGTTACCACTTGTTGTTGTAAATCAATACAACATCAATGGAAAATGTCAATATGAAAAGCAAAATGCTGTCCATAGTTCTGGTTATCCTTCTAAATCGAATCATTGCTTATTTCCCCAATTCAATTCAAGTTTTCTAGCTTTCAAATAATAAAATAAAAGAATAATATATATTTTGAAATAATATTTTAGAATATGGCATATCGAATATACCTCAAATTTGGGCCATGTTGAACAGAGAAAATTTTCAAGTCCTTATAAGATAGATCTTTTGAGGCAGGAAAAACTAAATCCGTATTTTTGAGTTATCCAAATTAGATAAGTTAAATCGGTTTGTAAATTGTGCAAAATCACTTTTCATAAATGAATATATTCTTAACTTTCCTAGAATCAAGAAGTTACTATATAAAAGACATGACTATTCCCAAATGTATAGGAATATTCAACTTGTTTTGGACATCCCTGATTATGTCACTAAAATGATAATATCCAGAAGATATTCCTAATATAAAATTGAGATAAATTGAGAATTTAAAAAAAAAAAAAAAAAAAAAATTCTGATTTAACAAATGCAATTATAACAGAGAAATAAATTCCTTTTTCCATTTAACACCACCTAAGAGCTACGATATTAAAGCATTTTATATTTGTTTTTAGACTGAAAGTTTTGCGAGTATCGTTGAAAATTCTGAGAAATCAGCATGGAGTGGAAATCAAACATTTCAAGACACTTCTCATATAAGGTATAGTTCAGGGCGGGCAAATTACGACCTGCGGGCCAGATCTGGCTCACCGAAGGGTTTCATACAGCCCACTCGTGTATGCTGAAATTATTGCCGAAAAAACATCATAACGACCTCGATTGTTACATTGTGCTTTTTAATATTATATAAATGCGAGCCTAGCTGTTGTAAATAAACCATTTTTTTTAAAAGTTTTTAATATTGAGTTTTGATCTGCTGGCCCAGTAACCAAGTCAAATAGTTTTATTGATAATATTTATATTTTATAGAAAAATGACAATGGATGTCTCAAAGATGGTACAAGAAGTTTATCCAGACCGACTGACAGATTTTCATTGGTTAGTTGAAGGTTATTTTTAACAATTTTTAACAACACAGTGCATATCACCAAAAACAGATTGCCCTTTTGTAGCTGAAGTATTTATAGTTGTGACTAGTGGAGTATAACGACATAAAATAGATAGAGGCTCATGGAAACATATCAAACCCGCATTTATTCACTCAATACAACTAATCATTTATTTGACCATGTATGCTATGTTTTAATAAAGTACATAATGTAATTCAAAACACCTTTTTAGCTTCAAGATTTGTTTAAAGGAAATACAGTGATTTAAACGAAATGTATACAATACAGAAAAGTGAAACGTTTTTTCCTCTCTTTTCACTGTTATTGGAAGTAAAATGAATTGAATTTTTGTTCAAACACACAAAATGAAATTGATTTGAAATTGAAACATCGCAGATTACTCATTATTTTACTACAGTGAACAGTGAATAAAGTAGTACAAAATGTTTTCAAAAACATACACTTTTTGGTACTCCAAAAATATGTGCATCTAGATGGCAGACACCAGAACGTCGTGTGTACCAGGTTAGGGTTAGGCTATAACTTTAGGTACAAATACTACGAGAGTCACTTAGCAAGTCCCCAAACTCATAATATAACTTGAAAATTGAAATAAAATTTGGCCTAACCCTAACCTGGCACACACACAACGTTCCGGTGTCCGCGATCTCGGTGCACAATTGTACATACTTCTGGAGCGCACACTTTTGACATCTTGGAGTATATCATAAAATTAACCGAAAACCTTACGTATTACGCTCGAAGAAATGAAAGTTATAACTTGTCCTGTATAATTTTTAAGGTCTGATGTCAAGTTTACATTTGTACTTCGTCGAAACTCATCTCTGTACATGCAGAGTATGTTGTTCCCGGCTATTCTGCTAACAACAGTTGCATTACTTGGATTCTACTTGCCACCTGATAGTGGAGAAAGGATTGGACTACAGATTACTATTCTTTTGACTTTCATGGTGAATATCTATGAACACAATTTTGGATCATTCCAAACACATGTCCCTTCTATCTTCCAATTATCTAGAAAATTTTCCGTTGTATGTGTACCAGTTAAGTTTAGGGCATAATTTTATTCCGATTTCCCTGATTTTAATTCTATTACGAGTTCGGGGACTGTCTGTGTTAGCCAAGTGAATATAACCCTGCCCATAGGTTGCAGTCCCTTTACACAACTCGATGTAAAGTAGGCAAACAAAATTAGTTACCCTAATATTGGTACACACACTTCTGGAGCGCCAAGATTTACATGTTTTAAACCTCAATATACCTCTTGTCTAACATTTTTCAAATTTACTGAGACGAACTCATTCACAAATTTCTTTTTCTTCCACAGGTTTTCTTGCTTACCGTTGGAGAGATGTTTCCAGCTTCTACTGGTCCATTCCTTGGAGTATATTATGTATTGTGTATGGCTCTACTTGGAATCAATTTATTCATGACAGTGTTGGTGTTACATCTACACTACATGCCTAGTGCTGCTGTCATTGGAACTAAAGAGGTAAATTGTTTCATCAGTAACATTTTAGTATATTTCTGTCACGTTCAGACTTCCTTTATTAATACTTTAGGAATGTCACCTTGATATAGTATGATAAATGACCCACTCTCAAGCTCAACCAACTAATTCAGACTGATGAGCGATCCTATTAGGAATTAAATATAATAGAGGATATGAAAATAAATATAGTTTAAAAAATCTTATTAACATTTGAAATCTTTATTTTTTCAATTTGATAATTGAAATTACTGTTCTACTGTAAAATTTAACATTTGAAGCAGAGTCCTAAAAAGTTTGGCATTCGATCAAAATTTTCCTTAAAATAATTCCATTTAGATTTTTCGATATTGAAATTAATAACTGCAAAAAGAATTCTAAACAACAAACTATTCAGGCAAAAATGTAAACACAAATTAAATTTTAATCTTCTAGCTGAAGCTCTTATTTTTATTATTACTATTTTATGCTTAGAATCCATCACTTTTAGCAGATAAATGATTTTAAAACCAAGTGTTAGATAGATCAAATGCCGACAAGATATGAATACCCAAGTTTTTAAAAAAATAAGTTTTGTAATATCTAGTGGCTCGAGGATATGCTCGAAAACTAGGCATCTTTTTAATAAAATCGTGGTGTGACTTTAGCAAGATGAATGCTAAAAAGTTTTTATGTCATAAACTCATAATATACAATTACTATTGCGTAACACTTCAAAACCAATACAAAATAAACAACTAAATCTACCAGAAAATGAAACCAATAACTTTTGATTGGGAAACACTGCTGTAGATCATACTAACCTAAGTTTTAATATCTTCCAGGGAGGAGGTCTCCAGATCAAGCCTGTACCAGTGTGGGTTCGATGGCTTTTGCGGATTGCCAAATTTCAATTTCGGACAAAGACAGATGATGGTAGAGATACACCGACTTCTCATATTGTAACAGATATTATAAACACGGGTCGTTTGGGAGCTAAAATTCCAGAATCGAAGCAAAACTCTCCTGCACGAGCGCATAAACAAAAGGGGCCAGAAAACGGAAAAGTTCTATCTGAGAATCAATATGACCCTAATTACAATGAGATGGTGAAAGGCGATAAATACATGGTTAACACAAGAAAAACATCCTTACCAGGAAAAATGAACAAAGTAACACCAGAGTGGGCACAAGAGCAGTGTCATGATAAAATTTCACCACACGAAAGAGATGACAGCATTGCAGTTGAACAGAGCGATGATATTAACGTATTTATAAATTATGCTACGGCGACACCTAATGGAAGCTTGAGATCAAACTCCTCGCGCACTTCGTCCTCAACCAGAAATCGTCACCATCGCAACAAAGAAAACAATGGTAGTAACCATGGTGGCAACCAAAGTGCAATTCATCAGAAGATAATAAAAAACATGAACCAAATCACAGATTATTTGAAATCGCAAAATCAACATTTGCAAGAAAGTAACATTAGCGAAGAAATTGAGAATGAATGGAGAGCTATGGCTCGAACAATCGACCATCTGTGCATGAAAACATACTTGGCCATTCTTATTCTGAGTCACATTTGCATATTGGCAGCAGCACTAGTTCAAAGTGCAGACTATCATGCTTCAGAAAATCGTTGATTCAAAGATAACATGATTTTTGGGCCATAAACTCAAGTCTGACATCATTGCAATTGTCCAAGAGATGACTAAAAACACCATATTTCCCTTGGTGTGCGATAAATAATTAAACATGATTATTCTTGTCGCATACAATCTATATCGAAATAATCTATTATAACTAAAAGGCTATTACAAAGATAAATGATTTTTGGGCCATAAACTCAAGTATGTGGCATTAGTGCAAATGTCCCAGACATGACTGATTGGAAATGACCCATAGCGAAAAGTGTTTCTAGAACTAGATAATCAGTATAACTGAGAGACTATCATAAAGATAAAATGAATTTTGGGCCTTAAACTAAGTTTGTGACATCAATGCAATGTTCAGCAAGACATGAAAACATCATGTTCTTTGTGATGTTAGATATATTCCAGTTGCAAACAATTCCATTCAAACAATATTTTAAAATAACTCATTAGAAAAGGTGTTTCAGTTTCATGAATTAGATATTCAGTATAATGAATGACAACCATAAAAAAATGATTTCTTCATAAACTAAGTCTGTGACATCGATGCAAATGTCCAAGATATGACTGAAAACAACATACTCTACTTGGAAAATGACTGCTATCTATATTCTAGACACGAACTATAACTAGAAAGACAACTATTTTAGCTGCTATTGTGTTTTCAGTACTTGAAATTTCCCAATAAGACATACCGGTAGTTGTAAAAATTCCAAGTGTTTGTATGCATCATATCCTAAAAATGGCTTTCCCACTTATCATATGATTTTGAAACACCAGTGCATGGTTTCCAATACTTTAAAGTAGTTTAATAATGAAGAAATCAGGTGACTAGGAAAGAAAGAAAACTGTTTTAAAACGAAGCTCAACAACATGTTAAGCAGCATGTAGAAATTGCCGTACTAAAAGTAGTTACAATTCAGCGCTAAATCAGGTAACACGCAATAATTCCTACAAATCAGAATGTATTTGCCGTAGATGCACATAATAGATCAGACTTATCAAATCAGTCATTTTAAACCCTTCTGAACTTTCATATAGCTGTCAGTGTACAATGTATATTTTAATGTTAAAAATCTTTACTTTCCCAGTGTCATTCATATGATTTGGTAATAAAACTGTGCAATAAATAAAGTTCCATGAACATTGTGTTTGTTTAAACTTAAAATAGTTTTTATTAGCTCTCCAGGAGGATGTGTACCAATATGGATGTAACTAATTTTATTTGCCTCCTTTACATCAAGTTGTGTACAGGGACTGAAGCTTATGGGTAGGGGGATATTCACTTGGCTAACACAGACATCCCCGAAACTCGTAACAGAACTAAAAAAAGGAAAATTGGAATAAAATTATGGCCTAACCCCAACCTGGTACACATACTTCGGGAATACCATTTTATTTATGGTCTCGTACATATTTATTAACATGTATTGCACCGATGCAAAGAGACCAAGAATTTAACTCAGTATCTTCTTGTGTGTTTTTCACTCTTGATTCGAACATACCACCTGGTAGCACAGTTCGACTATGATAATAGTGATTCATGCGATAGCATACAAAATATTACACATGGAGAAGGATTAAATTTTTTTACCTGGCAATCGGCCTAACAATCAAGAATGACACAAAGCTATGATATGCTGAGAGAAGTTACTTAGTTTGAATATAGCAACTCATAAAAAGATTGGAATAGCTCATCCAAATTATTTGACTATAATATGGTTGAGGGGACAAGTCTATGCATCTCTGTATGGGCGTGTGACCTTTTTAATTTTTCTATTGCTAGAACCACTAAGATCGATGTTTCTCAACCGAGGGGGAATTCCTCCGCTGAGGAGAATTTTGTTGTTCTTGGGAGGAATTTTGCATTGTATTTGCTGCAGTATTGCTAATATCATTCTTTATAATTACCATAATACTTATTTATGGGTACTCCCGAAGTATGCGCACCAAGATGTCACACAACCTGAACCTGAGTTCAGGTTGTGCGCCATCTTGGTGCGCATATTTCAGGAGGTCTCATTTATGCATACAGTTTAAGTACACTAGCTAATATTCCATTAAAGAACGAAACAATAAATAGAGTAGTTTTATGCAAAGTGAAGTAGGTATAAAGAGCTTTAAATTGGGTGAAAGGAAAAAATTTAACGTAAAAGGTTGGGAACCACTGATTGACTGATCTAATATGATCAACAATGGTGATCCTGTTCTTAACATACAATCTTGATAACTGTTTTAATTTTCTAAACTTTGTGGAGTCATGACTGGTGAATCCCCGGAATTGTCTTTTATCCGCAGCAGTGAATAGCTGCTTGTCAACATTTTAATGAAGAAACCAAATCATACGGATTTCTATTTAATATCATAATGCTACTCAATTCAAGAGATATCGATCAGATGAAACTTTACAGAAATACATTTGTGTTAGTGTGCAGCAATGAAATATTCATCTTTTTTTCTTGCTTATTATAATTTTTGATAGCATAGCTCAATTTTATGGTGTACCACGACCTCTCGTCCGGTTACCAGTCCATGTCTGGTTTCATATACATGGACTCGACGGTGGAGGAAGCCGTACGTAGACCAGCCTATATCGGTGAGGAGTCCAGCAATCCTCTCGCACTTATCTGCAATTAGCCCCACAAGATTTGAACTTGCGGACAACCACCGCAGGGTAATCAGAGGTGCAATGGCAAGTTAAACACTTATCCGGATGCGCCATACTGCCAGTTTTGTTATAGACTGCAGTAAGAAAATAAAGAATGGTATTCTATTTGAAGTCTAGTGGTGCTAGTTTTTGCAAAAAATACTTTCTACAGTGAAATGCAAGATAATCACTCACGAAGGTCTGGTGATTCCATTCTCTTGAATGCTGGTGATTGCCGTCTGTCCTTGTCCTGGCACCGGCATCAATGACTCACCAAAAGTCGAACCAAATTTCTTCATATCAACCTACAGAAAATATTCAAGATTTCAAGGCAGAGACACCCCTGTGCCACAATCATTACAGGCATAAAATTTTAGTCGTTACTAATCAAGTATTCTGTAGATAATTTCTAGGTTGCCCAATCTTATACACGAAAAAAGCATCCAAAGAACAAATGTTCATAAATTCTTGCTTATAAATGACATTATATAATGTGTGATTTTAATTTGATATTTTGAATACAAACCAGACGAGGATATTTGGCGCTCCCAAAGTATGTGCACCAACAAAAATGGCGCACAACCTGAAACCTAGCCTGGTACACAAACTATGTTCAGGTTGTGCGCCATCTTGGCTTGGTGCACATACTTTGGGAGCGCCAAATATCCTCGTCTGGCGTGAGACTTGACAAATTCTTGAACAAGGAGAACCACTGTTTTATGAGAAGCATACAGAAGCTTTCTTCGACCAAAAACCTCAGAAGAACCCACCTCAACTTTTCCCAGCACAGGTTTCTTTTCCCATTCAGGTTTAACATATTCGAACAATCCTTCCTTCCCTCCGTCCCTTCCAAATCCACTCTCCTTGTATCCACCAAAACCAGCAGCTGCATCAAAGAGATTGTGGGAATTGACCCACACAGCTCCTGCTTTAAGCGTAATTGCAACTTCCAAAGCTGAAAAATTTGAGAAATGTTTTAACAAAGATCAACAAATGAATGATGGGTTCAACTATGTGGATCAAAGTTTGGAGATATTGGGATGTATCCATAGAGTCAAGAGTCTGTGTCGAAGTTTTGCGATACCCAAAATTGGAAGTTGAGACTTTTAACGATAATATTAGAAGATAAAATTTTCTACCCAACAAAAAAAAATCATTTTTAACATTCTATTGGAGAAGACAACAACATGTTTATTATCAGATTTTGATTTCGATAGAAATTGGAGATCGAACTGGAGTCAAAATTTCCTTAAACATGGAGCCAGGAGACAGAGTTCATTAAGTCAAAATTTTTCCATCCCAAAGTCAGGAGTAATTTGTCCAGACTCTACCTCCACTAACCCAACCTTAATATCCCAAAGTCAGGACTCAGGAGCCCATTTCCCCTAGCTACTGTACCTGTTGGTAAGTTATCAGACCAAACACTTGCTGCAAGACCATAGTTTGTGTTGTTACCAAGCGACCAAGCTTCTTTTGCTGTTCTGAATGGCAATGCAACCAACACTGGACCAAATACCTAGAAGAGATAGAAAAGATATCCAAGAATAACAAATCTGTCAAACTGTAATGTTATTATAAGCTAAATAGTTTTGAACTATTGCACAGACAAGAATCATTAAACATTAATTCTAATTACATTTCAAAATGTCTCTGGCTGTGAATCATTATTAACAAAAATTTCCACTTCATTTCAATCACCCGATTTCTCACAATAGAAAATTTGACTCCACCAAATCAGAAAAAAACTAAACTAATAAAACTTGGGTATTCAAGGCATTTTATTTCCTGCTGAAAAAGCTAAGTCAATCCAATGCATTTTTTTCCAGTTTCGGTCAGGAATTTTGACTTTGAAAATGACAAGTATTGAATGTCTGAAATCTCGACTACAACTCCACAAGCTTAAAATATGACTCACTATCTCCCGAAACTGAAGAGTTTAATGTTGAACCACTCCAACTCCCATATTAAAATAGGACAAAGCAAACTTCAATTTTGATTGATTTCCTAAATCCACAGGCCATCACACGCATATTCATTAATCAACCACACGGTACTTTTCTTATATCATGGGCCACACCAAAAAACTAGTTTTTCCATGTACACAACAAATTAAAAAACGAGAATATCAGTCAGAGACCAAGACTTATCGATCGATAGTTAGGGGATCCCCCAAAACAGCGCTTTTATTCCATAGTGACACCTTGTGTCCCATCACTAATTAATTGATAACTCGCTAATTATACGACATAATTCGCCCAAAATCAAAAGGCTTCTGGTACGAGATGTGATGAATGCACATGCAAAATCTGCATCAGATCCAATCTCGCTTTCGTGAGATATCGCGTGCATCTAACAGACAGACAAACAGACAAATACCTATCAACATACTTACCGATTAAAATCGATAAGTAATTAGCGACAACCAGAGTGCCATGAAAAAGGCAAGAGAAGAAAATAAAAGCTCCAGGCAACACATTGAAAGATTTAACATACCGACAAGAGCAAAAATCATCATGTATTTTACCCATGTGAGCGCCTTTTTAAATATAAACGGCCGGATTAGTATTTATTGCTTGATGAGGAAATCAGAGTGTTGACAAGATCCACACTAACAGCCTTAGTGAGCTGTGTTGTGGTCTGCGTGCCGCTTGTTGCACACCTTTGTTTTATATCGAATAAATCTAAAATTGTTCAATGAAAGTACTTTAGTAGTATAAATCCCCCTCACTCACCTCTTCTCTGACAATTTTAGAAACAGTTTGAACATTTGTGACGAGAGTAGGTGGATAGAATAAACCTTTCTCTGGTACAGGTACTGGAGCTTGATATATCTCTGCACCTTCTTGTCTTGCTTCTTCAACAAATTCTGTGATTGTTTTCAGTTGTCCTTCACTTACTATTGCTCCCATATCAATGGCCTGGATTATAAAGAGAATATGATCATCGTTCAAACTTTTTGGTCGTCTTTTCATTAAATGCAGGGGTTTCCAAATTGGAAGTCGCGAAAGGGGGCGGGCAAACAATACACCAATTTCACAAAAAGTACAAATTTATTGTACCTTTTTGAACTTTTGATTCGAAACAAAATTATTAAAATTAGTGCAAAACATAATATCTCACAATTTCGAGAGAACACCTAGGATCAGAGAAGCGGCGCTCTTGCATAACAATGCCGACTCAACAGCGGTCACAGAAAATTTAAACATATATTGAAAGGGGTCGTGAGCTTAAAAGTTTGGGAAGCTGTGCTTTAATGGACAAGACAGATGCATCTTAGTATTATGATATAGAATGCTCCTTAAAATAAAGATATGCCGACTATCCAGTGAGAAAGTGTATTCAATCAAGCACAAATTAATCCATACCATACTTTTTCCTCATATTGCCTAATGATCTTAATATTAATATTTGTTAGCTCCCACTTCTAACACAATGTTGCTAGATCAGAAAGTAATTGCTTCAGGTAATTGCTTGTCTGCTTCAGGTTGTTTGTCTGTGTAAGCTTGATTCTAAACTTTTATGGCCAGAGCAATCACTATAATGTATGTTGAACCATCCTGATTACGGACCATTACATAAATGACTATAATCTATGGGCGATATCTTGAAAATAATTCAATGCGGCAATCGGTGTTGCAAGAAAAACTCAAATTTGACAATTCGCAAGATCACAAGAATATGAATCAATTTTGTTGCAAGTAGAGACAATAGCAAGTAACATTTAACACAATTAAATGAAAACGACAAAACATTTTTAATTTTCATATTGGTCATGGATTGAATATTTGACAAAACAGATATCATTATCTGTTAAAAATTAGTCTCTTTTAATAAGTGACACAGTCAGTAGACTGTTTTAGAACCCATTGCACAAAAATTTCAGATTTCCAAGTTCCAACCCTTTTTTTTAAATTCCTTGCTGCGCCTCTGTGGCAGGACGTAATTACGAAATTGAATCCAATCAATTATACGCGAGTCACTAAATCAAAGATTAGCATCACTAGTTCTTGGTTTACCTTATCCAGTGAATGTCCGATCCTGAAATGAGTCAAACGTTCTTTTATTCTTGATATTAATTCATCATAAATATTTTCTTGAATAAGAAGACGAGATCCTGCACTGCAAACCTGAAAAGTTAGAATTTGAATATACATTTCGAAATTTGGTCAAATAATGTAATAAATATCAATCTTAAATGTGTAAACACAATAAGTATGCAATGTGAACAAAAACAATAAAAAAGTCGACATTCCCTCAATATTCCTAATGATCTTTCATAATATGACAAAAATTGAAAGCACAAATTGCGGCATGAAAATAGTTCTGCATGAATCAAGGAACTGAGTAACTCACTTGTCCTTGGTTAAACCATACAGCGTCCACAACACCTTCCACAGTGCTGTCTAAGTCAGCAGTGTCAAACACAATCACAGGTGATTTACCACCAAGCTCCAGTGAGAGTTTTTTACCAGAACCTGCAGTGAGACGACGTAGCGTTTGCCCGACCTGTTGAAAAGTAAATTAGGAATATATCGAGTGCTCCTAAACAATTACAAAACGAATACATTTGTACATTCAGATTTGAGTGCATTGCACCTGAGAAATGTACAATGGTAAAAAGCACAAACTTTTTATGTTTAATTCTTTGTTTATGACCAGTGTCAGACAAAAAAAATTATTGCAGAAGTATTTTTTTCCAGTTTTGTGTAACTCATAACTGATAACTGATTCTATTGGCTCAAAATGTTTAAGTCTTGCACCAATCAGTATTCACGAATGCGCAAAAATTTGATGGGAAACCCTTTAATATGATACTGAAAGGCGTCGTTAATGAGAAGTTATATTCACATTCAAAATTTTTCAATATGATAATTTTTCATGTCCTTTTTTTGATTTTCAAATGAGAAGTATACTTTCTATTCATATTTGGGTACTCCCAAAGTATGTGAACAAAGATGGCCGACACCGAAACGTAGTATGTGTAGCAGGTTAGGAGTTAGGACCATAATTTTATTCCACCTTCCATCAATTTAGTTTCATTATGAGTTCGGGGACTAGCCAAGTGACTCCCGTAGTAGTATGTGTACCTGAAATTATGGCCTAACCCTAACCTGGTACACATACTACGCTCCGGTGTCTTCCATCTTGGTTCACATTCTTCGAGTGTACCCATATTTTTATAGAGAATGCAAAAAGGAAAATTCTCTATATCTGCTCACCCCTGTTGATCCAGTGAAAGCAACTTTATCAACATCATCATGAGTTGCCAACATTGATCCAAATGCACCATTACCAGTCACAACATTGAAGACACCTGGATTGATGAAAACACTCTTAAGCACATAGATCTAGAACTCAAAGTATTGCCATTTTATTTGAATTCTTCAAATGTATAATAAAGGTTCGAAACCCATTGTTAGTATTAGGGCTGAAGAGTTGTTAGTAAGAAGAATTTCATTCAATTCTATGTTTTTATTAAAATATTCTAATCCATCTTTGGGATCCAAATTAACATACATTTCAACTCAACTGCCGTTTTGTCTTGAAATGTTGAAAATATATTCGATTCTGACCTCGCTTCTGGATGCAGACTTATTAATTATTACATGTTTAGACATTTGGGATATAATAAACCAGAGGGAAAGAAAAACCAATTATGCAGCTTAATCAAATTCTGATACATTTCTTCTGGCATTTCAATTCAAGTTAGATGAGGATTGGTGAATTTTTAAAATTATAGTTCGAAAATTAAATCAGGATGCATCGACTCGAATATGGGGAAGTACGTCCTTATGACACAGCGAGGTGTCAAACAGCCATCCCACACACAAAAATATACACCAAGGGTTTTGAACCTGCGAGTCTACATGGAATAACCAACAATGCCACTGAAAGCATGTCCCTAACACTTATTAGCCTATTTTGACCAAATACACAGCAAAGCGATATCTGTTAGATCATTCTTACCAGGAGGTAGTCCAGCTTCATGGCAAATCTCTGCCAATAATAAAGCAGACAATCTTGTGAACGTAGCTGGCTTCAGTACAACAGTGTTTCCCATTGCAAGTGCTGGGCAAACCTGGGAAAATAAGATAAGTTAAAATAAGCATTTCATTTATGATCATGGTTAAAAATGCAAAATCTGAATGCCAGTCAAAATTCAACATTGCCCTTATTGCATTATATTGCCAAAACACTTAAATCACACTGAATACACAATTTTTTATTTCAGGCACATGACCAAGCATTCTTAATTTCATAAATCAAAATTGAACACATTTTGTAAAATAACGGTTACCAGTTTTATAATCAAAATGGAGCCAGATTTTGAATGAATCTGAGCTCAAACCATAATCATGTTACTAATAGACTCTACTTAATATTTACATGTGAATGAGGTATTTCAAAATAATATCACATTTAGAAAAATCTTAAAAACTATTCAAAAAGTCAACTAATCAATACAAACTAGAATGAAATGCCTAATATGGACGTTTCAACATAAATCAGTTTATTTAGTTTGCAAGGTCGTACAAGAACGGTATTGGAATGATTATGCAAACATGAACACCATGTAAAGAAAACATTCATATAATAAATACTCCTTTACAAGAGCACAATGTTGACTTTGCATCAGTTAAAAGTTGTTACCTTGATAGTATATATATTTCTGATAAATAGGGTAATATACAAGATACAACATAAATTTGAAGATATAAGCTAAGCCTTTAACAAAATTATTATATATTCTGTGAATGACTTCAAATTTTAAAATTATTCTTTGAAATCTACTTCAATACGAATTCTCCAAATAAATTAAACATTTGCGGAAAATATAAATTATTTTTCTGCTAGTAAATAGCAGTTTGTTAACAAATTTGTGCAAGTTTAATGATGGGCTTATAGGGATTCTCCCCTAGAAGTGGGCAAATCTCAAAAGCAGGAAACAATTTGAATTATCTTTTTCGAATATGCAACTAATTAAACAACAATATTAAAAAATGATTTTAAAAAACCAATATTATAATTGGATGTAAATTATAAGTCCAATTTACCTTCCATGTGAGCAACATCAGTGGAAAGTTCCAAGGAACAATTGCCCCTATAACACCTGCAAAAGAATAAAATGACTAGCATGGTTTGAAAATGAAATAAAATGGACACTTCATTTCCATATTCCAAGCTTGAATATTCTTGTATGATTCCACGAATTACAATTCGTGTGTAATAATTTCGCAATTAGTTGATTACTGATCATGCAAAATTTCTTAATGCTGTTCAGAATTGATATAAATTTCATACCATAATCCCTCAAATCACTACTTCGCCATAACACACACTACCATTTACCACTCCCAGCCCTAAGTATGTCATGACCCTTTTTCGATTAAAGGTGAGATCCTTCAATGCCCGGTTATGTTACCACTAACTGTGTGTACTTTTAATAATCATTTCATTAAAAACTTCCATATTTGGTTAATTTTTTGATCATCTTTACCAATAACTCACCCACAGACTTCCATCCCCTCATTTCAGTGTCCATCAGTTGAGCCCATCCTGCATGATGATAGAAATGCCTTGCAACAAGTGGAATGTCGCAATCTCTTGTTTCTCTGATTGATTTGCCGTTATCTAACGATTCCATCACTGCTATCAAACGATGGTGTTTCTGTACATTTCTTGCAATTGCATACAAATGCCTAGAAATAGTTTAGACAGAAATTATATCTAGATTGAAAAAAATATCACTCTTATTCTCCCTATATTGGAAGTCCCCATTGTCAAAATCCATGTAGAATTGTATCTATTCTATTTATACCACCTCATTACTGTTAAAAAATATCTATCTCCCTTCAAATATTTTACAGCATTTTTAAAATTGCTAACATTTTTTCTAACCTTATATAGACATTTCTGGCTTTTGGAAGAGATTTATTGCACCTTGGAGTAGGTGGTGAGAATATTGTTTGTACACGGCAGTCAAATACCCCCCTTAGACATGTGCCCTCGTACTTTTATTAAAACGAAAGAAGATTTGTCTCATTTTCAAATATCTGGATATACCCACTTATGTACAATAGTATGGGTATCTCACTTAACGGTAATTAATCTTAATCAATATAAAAAAAATATAATATAAGCTAAATATATGATTGGTGAGAACACACATAGTGAGGGTTTTATTTATTTAGGCTTACCTCAGACGCTCGAGAGTCTAACTATGTGCCACAAAAATTATGAATGAATATATTATTTATGGATAATATGGCCAAATTCATCCCAGATGATAAAAAAATACCTTGCTCTGACGTGGGGTTCTAGCTGACTCCATGATTTGAAAGCTTCTCTTGCACAGCCAACTGCATAGTCCACATCTTCTTGAGCACCCTGATATAAACAAACATTACATTAATAATAAGACATATCAAAAAATGATTTCATGTTCGTGTGCAAAACTACAACGAGTGAGTACAAACAACAAAAAAGTATGTAAAAATGTGTTAGGAATCAAGTACAAGCATAGAGATAATAAAAAAGGGTGCTCCCGAAGTATGCGAACCAAGATGGCGGACATCGGAACGTAACATGGGTAACAGGTTAGGCGATAATTTTTTTTCCAATTTTCCTTATTTTAGTCCTATTATCAGTTCGAAGACTAGCCAAGAGCCTCCCGTAGTATTTATACCTAAAATTATGGCCTAACCCTGACCCAGTACACATATTACATTCCGATGTCCGCCATCTTGGTTCGCATACTTCGAGAGCCCCTAAAAAAGAGGTTATGGTCAGTCTCATGTCTATAAGCCTTCTGAAAGCATTTCCTCCTCCCCAACATATAATATAGGAGGTCGCTCTATTTTTACTTGCAAAGCTATGATTCAGATTTCACATCTATCCCCTATATTTGAATGTCCAGTATTGCAATTAGCGGTTCTGCATATTGGAGGCTCTATTTGTATGTCCATTTTATTGATTTTAATGGTTGAGGTGGCAAAATGAAAATGAGTACAATATTTTGGGACTTCATTTTCATATTTATGATATCTTGCTTAACATGGTCCGTTGTCCGGTTTCAGGTTAATTTAAGTTTATTCTAGTTATTTGTCTCAGAAAAATTTACTTTGATGGTTGAGAAAGCCGTAATGTACAGCTATTATGTTAACCAACATTCCTCTTGTATATGTTTATCCTATGCAGGATTGAAATCTGCGAACCCTGGTTTGTTCTCAGTGATGTGCCAAACGATGATATAGAGTGATGAATAGAATCTTTGGTTGTATGCACATTATATGTGGAGAGAATGATTTGAACAAAAATTGAACCACTTTTCAAATACTGCTATTAACCTAATCCTCCCGGTTTGACGCATGCGCGAAATTTCAGACGTTTTGCAATGCTGTGTGTATACCATGAGGTCTGGAATGTTTGTTATGGTCTTGCTTGAAAGGAAATCTTATTCCCCACACAACGATATGAGAATGAACCTTATATGACATTTAGAAGTGATAAAATTTCGCTTACATATCACGCGTGTACTTCCCGCTGCGATATAAAAACGTCGCACAACAAGAAAATGATTCCATAAACCTTGGCGTTGCGCGCTAACCAATAACAAAAGCTAGTATGATAAGGTCTTATTTTGAAGGTCATTTTATATGCTACATAACATAGGAGAGTGGACATCTCACAACGTCAGGAAGTTATAAAAATATCGAGTCGTTTGATCGCAGCTGCCTCACCGAAAAAAAGTTAGGCGTTTTATCTCGCAAATTCTCCTTGTCTGACGATTATAAGCTTTTATGATTCATAATAAATGTTTTATTATGACTCACAAAAGCTTTCAACGCGATAAAGCACAAACAAACAACCGATCGATCTATCAAGCTTAGCCTGGCCTGATTCGATGTGGTGACTTCTCAAACGGAAAATTTCCAAAACGTTTGAACAACGCGCGCTATGAAAAAGCGTTTAGTACCATATGAAAGAGAAAACCAATGTGCAGTCAACTGTATAGTCACATTTCAGCTTTACAATAGCTGTAGACGTCCAACAGCTGATAGAATGAGAGAGTGTAAATATTTTTGTTATTTTTTGACGTTACGGGAGACCCCTTGAAAGAGGTGTTTTAGTTTACGGTCCTCCAGTGACATCTAGCGTATAGTACTCTAAAATACCTTTCCAATGGTATATAATTATTGTATATTGGGTAAATTTTGGGGGTCGTATGACATTAATAAAAATGTATTCAAAATTGGGCTCGATTGGGCGTCTGAAACAGGTTAAGAAAACACTATCAAAGCAAAGAGCCATTTTCCCAACCCCCTGCTGTATTCTGTGTCAATCATTGTTAGTTCATTAATTATAAACAGGTAAGATGAATTATGGTTGTGCTTTTAGTGTTTCCCGATTCTAATCAGCGCCCTTGGCAGTGGTTTTTCGCATAAACACACGCTCCGTTCGGATCACCTGGTACTCAACATACCATATGTTATTTAAAAAGGAATAGCGTTTAGTAAACTTGGGCCAAAGTAAACACCTGGATAGTTGACGCAAGTTTCTCTCCGGTAGCTGGACAACATGTATCATATACTTTTCTTCCCTCTGGTTTATACCATTCACCATTGATAAAATGCCCAAGATCGTTGTCACGCTGCTTCAACCATGCCTGTTACAAGTAAAAAGGAAATCGTCAATAACAAAAAAAGAGTTAAATAAAACTACTATAACTTGAAGTGCTGATTTTGTTAGCAGGATTTAAATCTACATACAGACATATGCTGGGCTAACATAATCATATTCTATCAGTGTGCCAGTTATTTATTTCAGATGCATGGATTTGATGGTGGAGGAAGCCGTGACTGACCAGGGGTGGCGTGAGCTACCTTAATGGGGCGGCAGTTCAGCAATCCTATTGCACATAATTATCTTGCTGATGACTGGACAACTTGTTGGCTGCTCAAAATTGGTAAAAGACCCATATTGCAGTAGGCTATTGTTTAAGACGTTGCCGTAGAAAAATGTAAAAAGACGGGCAACTCAGCAGTCTTCCCGGCAGTCTAGTTGTCTCTCAGTCTCTGACACAATTATGTTTGGCATTATTTAGTTATTTGAATACTAAGACTGTAAGAGCATTCATTTTCACACCACACAGCCACATTCTGACATTTGTGTTTCGAGTTATTTCTGTATTTCAGTCTGTCAGTATTTATGATGATACCTGAAAGTTCATAATTTATACTCAGCACGGCAGTACAAGGTAACTATGCTTTGAATTGCCCGTGTTTACCAAATGAGGCAAAATTTCTACTGCTGTACTGCCCAACGAATAGTGCTCTAGTCTCAGAGGTACCGTACCGTACCGGAGTACACTAGTGACCTATGCTATGCCTAGCCTACTGCAGGATATTCATATATTGCAGTTAGTATACATTCATTTTAAAAATAGTTGCTTGAAAAATCACCTTAGCAACATTATCAGCCTCTGGTGCAGGTCCATATTCCATGCTATCGAATAATTCTTTTACTGAATTTCCCGCTTTCACAGACGCAGCCATTTTGCAGAGAACCTTCACGTTTTGCAAACTGGTTATTTGCTCCGCTGCAAATGATAATATTACAATCGCTAGATGACGCTAAGAAAATGGAAGTGCACCGAAAAGGATGGTTTTCTTTTTCGATTGCACAAAAACTTCGAATCCCAGCTGATTGGCGTAATTAGAAAAAATAAGAAGAGTCGAAAGTCGATAATACGGCTTTGTCATATGTGAAGACTCTCAAGTTCAGGTCGGACATAGTGAATGAATGGGATTTTCACATTTATCCACGAAATACGGCTCAATAAAACGGAAAACCATGCCATCTCGTCCGTTTTCAGTATACCTCATATGAGAATAATCAACCAGTTTAGCAATCCAGATGCTCGGTCCTGGAATGATATCATGGTCATCGTTTCATATGCACGTGAGATCGAGTCATTGATCAGTTGGAAATAAAAGGAAGTATATATATACCTCTATCAATTTGAATATTTATTGGTCATAAAAAAATTTTCAGCAAAACATCACATAACATTTTACTGTAGGCTACCTAAAATTTGAAAATGATTCCTACCAACACCATATATATATAACTGTAATTAGGCAGTTAAATTGAGAAATCTAAATATAAAAAAAACACAGCCAACCTGGATTTTAAATTATAAAAAGGTAATATTTACGGCCACGGAATTAAAGAAAAGAAATAGCCTACATATGGCTTGGCAATTTGGTATTTATAAGCTAAAATCGAGCAGTCAGTCAGGGTTAGTTTTTTGCGTTGTTATAAGTCCAGAGCTGGCGGGTAATAGCTTTTTTATTATTATCATGGACAGTATGAATTAAACACGTTTTAGATCTACAAACCAAACATCACCGAGTTGTTGCAGCTTCTCCGAGTTATGAGCTATAAAAAGAGTACACATATGATATAAAAGATTGGTTTTAATGTTAGTTGACTTAGTGAACCACCCTCGGTTGTATAAGAAATTAAACTTTGATTCCTTTTGTTTGATATCCGTCAAGTTACGGCATTCGTGTTTATAATTCGTTTCTTCAGTTCTGCAATATTTCTTATACCTATTTTGGCAAGCTCGAAATTTGTTTGCTCTTTTTATAGTGTAAAGTGTTTCAGCTGTTTTAATATCAATCTGACGGATATAAGCTCAAAATTGAAATGTAGCCATGTTTTGAATTATTTGGCAATATGCTTATAATTTAAAATATGAGAAGATTTAGGTATGCTAACCTGAGTTAAATGTTTGGTTTATTAATTATTTGTATTTAATCATCATTCTGTTCTTGGAGTTAGAATAGACTTGTGTGAAAACAACTGATATAAAGCCAAGTTCGATGATGGATAAGAATGTTTATTATTATTACACACATAATTTCGTCAAGTAACACTAATACATTGTTATCCTGAACAGAAGTTAGAAGACAATGTTTTATGGTGACAAGTCGACATGTATGATGTGGTGGTGCTGGGAAGAATACACAGAAAATATTCTTGAAACTACAAATAGATATTGGAAATGCATAAAACTTCTTTTCAGAATGGGTATGCTGGCCCTTGCAGTGTTTTCTATTGTTTGCGATAGTTGGTTGGTGACATAAAGTGGATTGGCAAGGCAGGGATTATTTGAAGAGTGCAAAATCAAAAGTTCTTATAATAATTGCTTTGCCCAAGGAAGTTGCTCTCTTTGTTTTACAAACAGCACTGATGAACGCTGCGAAAAACTAGGTTGGTGGTGTATTTTTACGTGAATTTGCTACTAACTTACTCGATATACACACATCGAGTGTTTATGTTATATGGGAAGTTAATTAATTCTGCGCCTGCACTAATCTACATGGAATAAACACAAATAAAATTTAGAGCGGTTCAAAAATGTGAAATGAGTCTCTAGTTCTTGTTTAAACATCGCGTAACTTGACAATTATAAACTCACCCATTTAGCTTATAAAATTGATACTTGACGCCTGAAATTCAAAAAATAATTGTTTCACAATCAAAAAGAGTATTCTATTTATTCTATTTCAATTCCTTATGGCAGACAAAGAGATTGATGAAGTAGTTACAATATGTTTCATCGCTTCAAACATTTTCTTCGCAATCGTGTAAGCCAGTCCATTTTCATGAGTTTGACTGATTCAAACGAAGTGATAATAGAAATACAAAATCTGAAAGATAGGAAGGCAGTAGGTCCAGACAATATTCCAGCACGGTTCCTTAAACTTGTTGCTGACCTCATTTCGCCATGTTTAGCTGAACTTTTTAATTGTTCTCTCTCGTTAGGAATCTTTCCTTCGTGTCTCAAAATTGCTCGAGTAATCCCCCTCTTCAAATCTGGAAATAAGAAATGTGTTCCAAATTATAGACCGATATCAATCCTTTCATCGATTGATAAGATATTTGAGCGCTTGATCCATAAGCAACTTATTAGTTTTTTTACTAAATATAATGTTATAAACAGATCTCAGTTTGGTTTTCAGAATAATCATTCGACATCCCACGCCATTTTAGATACAATATCTTATGTTTATGATAAATTAGAGAAAAAAGAGTTCGTTAGCGCAACATTTTTAGATTTAAAAAAGGCTTTTGATACTGTGGATCATGACATTTTAATTTACAAGCTGAATCATTATGGCATCAGGGGACAAGCAAATAAACTAATTACTAGTTATCTAAGCGATAGATCACAATATGTCAAAGTGGGAACTTATTGTTCCTCTCTCTTACCAGTGACTCACGGAGTTCCACAAGGTAGTATATTGGGCCCATTATTTTTCCTAGTATATGTCAATGACATAGTTCACTGCTCTTCGCTCTCAACCAAATTGTTTGCTGACGACACTAGCCTCCTCGACAGCGACAAATCCCATGCAGCTCTTCAATCAAGAGCAAACGCTGAAATTGCAAAGGTGGCTAATTGGATGAGATCTAACAAACTAACAATAAATATAGAAAAGTCTAAAACATTGTTAATATCACCATATAGGCGTAAATCTCTAAATGGTCTGTCAATCCAAATTGATGGTACACAACTTGAAAACGTTATTTCTTATAAATACCTTGGCATATATATTGATAACAAATTGAAATGGGATACACAAATTTCAAACCTGGCCGTTAAATTATCCAAGTCGGTTGGGATATTATATAAACTTAAAAGATTTACATCGCTACCTACATTACGCATGGTTTACTACTCCCTATTCCAGTCCCATATTCAATATGGCGTAGTTGCATGGGGCTCTGCTGATAAATCTTTATTGCACCGATTAGAAATTATGCAGAATCGGGCCATTCGCGCTATTTCTGATGTTGCTTATCGCACACAACTAAGTCCTATTTATAATAAACTAAGAATTATTAAACTTGTAGATATACATAGAATTGAAGTGTTAAAGTTAATGCATCAACACCATGACAATAAACTCCCTGCAGCATTCACTAACTACTTTTCAAAGCAGAGCAGTATTCACTCCTATGGGACACGGTCATCTGCTAAAGGCTCTTACTTTGTGGATCGCTTTTCCACCAAGCTTACTCAAAACTCCATCAAATTCGTTGGTGTCAAGTTATGGAACACGCTCACTGACAGTATTCGATCAATGAACTACATCTCCTTCAAACATGCATTGAAAAATCATTACCTTGATGTTTATTTTTGCCAGTAGTCTGAAAACATTGCCTTTTCATGTGTCTGATCTTCTTCTAGTCGTATATTCCCTGAACCGTTACCGGTACCATACCGGGATGCAATCGTGTTCTTCCACTGTATTCTAAATTCGCATCGTCATTTACTCTGTATGTGCCAAGTTCTGTTTTTCACTTTCGACAACTTTTTATCATATAACCTAAATGTGAAAGAAATGCATGCTTCAGCATGCATCAGTTCATTAAGCCAGTAAAGTTCTGTCAAATTGAAATTAACGTTGCTGGGCACGCCGATCCAGTTTTCAAAGTGCTTAGTCATGTTAATAAGCGTTATTCTCGTTTAATTGTGTACATTGAGGTATATCGCATTCGCTTGATGGCGCCCTTGCGCTCGTCAAGCGGTACCGGTTTCCTTAATTAAAGTCCTCATGGCTCTTCATATTTCCGTATTTTATTTATCATCCGTTGTTGTTGTTTCTATGCATTTTAGTACCGTATTGTACGTGATAAACCCAAGTCTTCTGCTATATCTGTTGCTGTAATCCAGCATATAGGTGTCGCTGACACGATGACTTAATAGTCTTTCGCGACTCCTCGTCAATTGCGAAACATTGTGTATTTTTGATTTATTTAAATTTATTATTATTTGTTGACAATGTTTCATGCACGACGAAATAAAATATCTGAATCTGAATCTGTCGATAGTCGCAAGAGTTGCCTATTTTCTTTCAATACTGATTAATATATGTGTTAATGAAACTGAAAAACAATCTGATGAACACAAAGATTTGGAACAATTCCACAATAATGTCAATCGATGGGCTGGTGAGATACCTTATAGTCGTAACATTAGTGTTTGGCGAAATATACATAGCCGATCATCTCAAAGACTGCACGTAGGCATATACTTGCGAATAAGGTAACTAAATATGGAGAATTCCATTTTAAAGAAATCTTCGTTTAAGTATTTCATACAAAGACGTAGAAGAAACACGTTTTTTTTCAATAGTTGGTAGCGCAGCAACCTTTCATAAACAATTGATGTTTGCGAGTGAATCATTTATCTTGATACGAAATTTGAAATGCAACTTTGTGTTTAGATACTTGTGCTCTCATTGCTGTCGTTGTTTATTTCTGTTTGAATGTGCCTCCTAGTGGATTGGGGAAGTTATGTGCTTATTTCGGAATCCCATTTTACTACACTCTTGCTCGTGCTCTACCTGTTATTATAGCAATCCTTTCGTCAATCGCTCCAATTTTCAATGACTGGAAAACAATAAAGTGGTTAATTGTAACGGCAGCAGGCAAACTTCAAAAATGCAGCTGTAAAGAACAACAAAAAACAGCGCCTAACGAACCCGAAGAAAGTTGCGCAAAGACTTGCTGTAACAAAACCGAGCGTCACTCAAATCAAAAATACTTTGTTTTGTGGAACCTGACAAATTTTCTAGTTTCGATTTACTGTTTGCTAGGCAACACTTGGGTAGCTGGCGAAAACGATATAGCGAGATAGGGTTTATTACACGAATGTCGTCTCACGGACTTGGGACCCCTTACTCCTGCTAATATTGGATGTGCCGAATATAACTCAACGAAACCTCCGCAGTGCCAATTCCTCTGGAGAAAAAGTGAGTGCTAGTAAAGCCTGGGCATTTTAAATCGGATTTTAAATTATTCGAATCGGTTCAGAGCAAAATTTCGAATCACCGCCATCTTGTTTTTTCTTTCCGCCAATGGTCAAGGTGAATTTCCCAATTTCTTCTTCTTTTTGTCGACGCAATTCTGACATTTGGCTGACATTTCCTGTAGTGATTAATTGATAAAAACGTGTTTTTATTGTGTCTGAACATTCAGCAATGGCTCTGAGTGATGTATTCTAGGTTTTAGTACTTCGTGCGTTGACAGCACCGATTAAAATATAAAAAAGTAATATAATCATATAATTACATATTTCCATTGACCCCCAAGTATTCGAGATTCGATTCGAAAAAAGTATTCGATTCAATTCTGAAATAATGAGGTATTCGAAAACGCTGGTGAAAGTGTCGCTTTAAATAAATATTATGATCACCTAGCCAAGACAGCGATATACAAATCATAATATATATATTTGAGATAAAAATAACGAAATGAGAAGGCATGAAGAAGAAGTATCGCAATCAAAATTCTGTTTTACCCAAATGTGCACGTCACGTAGTAAAACTCTTGAACTTAAGATTTTTATCTCAATTCAAGATTCAATGCGCTTATATTAAACACACTTGACGCCTAACATACCATTCGTTGTTTGAAATTTTTATATTTTGCAGGCTTCAATGGTGCAGAAATATTCACAATATTCGTATTAGTCGTTGCGATTTTTTGTCGATTTGCTCTGTCTTTCTATTTTTATTGTACGCGTTATGACATTGACAACATACCAAACGCACCACAAGAATCTATATTCTATCAGAGATGTTTTGAAGACGTCAATGGTGAGATTCTATTTCGTTATATTTTTATAATCTCCTTTTAAACAATACTAGAAAAAAACGCTTCAATGTTCATTCTTACATGAAACTAGAAATTTTAATTAATTAATACTCAACCTGATTGACCATTTTGTAAAGGTATTTGAACTGTTGATTGAGGCTATAATAACTAACTATAACTCTTGATGTATATATTGGCCACTAAACGAATCCTTTTATTTGACATTCAAACCGCAGTAATGAACCTAGAGTTGTTTTTTAGCGCTCCTTGGTTTATTTGCAATAATTTGGTATGTGGCAACCGAAATCCATCTTCCTGGAAATCTTTGTTCGCACTACTCTTCGGGTTTTCATCTCTTCATTGCAACCTCCTTCATTGGATGCACATTTGCTCGTCTACTAATGATTCTCGCGTGTTTTGTTGTGTTGATCGTGCTTTTTGTCTTTTTACCATCAATTGTGTGTATTACGGCAATTCTATTTTGGTTTCGCAAAATGTATTCATCAATTACCAAAAGACGTCGCCAGGACAGCAGCACCATTTCACTGATTAACAACGACATAGACGAAGACCAAAAAAAAATACAAAACCTCAGATATACCATAACTCTTTATTTTGTAAATATACCAATATATATATATATATATATATATTGTATATATAATATTTTTGATTATAATTTCGAATGTTGATTTTATATATAATAATATAATTATTATATATTATTTCGAATGTCTCCTTGGATATTTATAGTGATTCAATATTCGAATTCTGGCTATGGTTAAGCAAACGACACAATGAGTAATGGACTAATTTCATCGCGATAAAGGCGCCCTCAGCGGGACATGCCTTCGATTATTCTAAATGTTCATAAACCAAAAAAAGTCGTTCCTCTGGCTGTGATTTGGATTGTGGATCGCATGATAGTCTAAATATAACTTTTATAGATCACAATGACGCGTAGATAACAATAGCTCGTGCTTGCTAGCAATTCTAAAATAGAAAAGGCTATCGTAAGTGGTCTTAACACGAGCCCATCGCACTAAAAAATTTAAATTGCCCAAAAGATCGAATACAATGGCTGTCATTAAGGATGCTAAGTATCACTACTTACAAGTATTTGATTCTTATCCGATTCCTAAATTTTCAATTCCGATTCTCGATTCTGAATCCCGATTCCTTGATATATCTTTCCGAGAAAACATGCCCACCTAAGCAATACCATATGAAATCAAACAAGAGAGCTAAGTTCCAATATATGAACGGACAAGAATGCCAAAACTAAGTAGTATGGGTATCCAATCTGTCCCAGGAGACAAAATCGCATAAAAATAGAATCCATCAGAACCCACAGAGATTTTAGAAATGAGGAAACGTAAATATCTTCTATAGCGAAGTATATATATATATACGAGTATATATATATATAGTAAAGTTTGCGGCATCGTAGAGCGTAGCAACTCAACATAAAGCAGTAAAGCAGTTTATACATACCGAATATCTGAAGGAATTGCCGCAAAACGTTACACATTGTTTGCAATCCAAGTGTTAACCTCGAGAATCGATTTCAATGCATCGGGATCGATTCTATAGTCCATTGTGCGAAGAATCGAATCCGGACACGATTCCGCCATCACAACAGGGTGTAATAAATATTACCGAAATTTTCCCGTGATTTCAAAATAATTGCAGTTTCCTTATATATTGTTAAATATCCATGGGTGCTAGCTCGGAGCGAAAAATAACAGCCGTATGTAAAATAATACCTAAATAGTTCTGAAATGAATTCAATTCCTCGTATTTGAATAAAAGATAAGTGCAAAATTTAACTTGATGCTGCTGATACCAACAATGCATAATTTCTAGACATTTGTGATCGCTGAACTTTCTAAAACGCACCAGATCAGATTTCTACGCAATTTTAAAAGCAGTTTTTACATAAACGCGATAATTTTCATAAGATAGAACTGGAGACAAAGTATAATTAATATATTAATTTGGAATATATACATAATGAAAAACCAAGATATTTCCGATTGCATAAGGATACTTATGAGAGAGAGATAAAAATAAAACAAACTGAATAAAAATCTAGAAAGGATGATGAAATTTAAATAATATAAATGAATTTAACAAAAAATGGCGGCAGTAAAAGATGATTGAAATATTTAAAAAAGTCAATGAATATTTTAAAAGCGTCCTAAATAGCACTTCTAAATCAAAATATTTTTAGTTAAAAAGGCCAATTTTATGACATGCAAACGACAGTTTATGAAAATTGATCCGTCGTTGATAATAACGCGGTAAATTTCATAGAAATGCGGACTATGCCCCATTCGTGGATGACCATTGATGATCACATGAAACGTAAATGTCAAACGAACTCAATATTCTTTAACAATTCACATTATTCAACAATACATAGGACAAAAGCAAGTTTTATGTTTATACTATTTGTCATAGAATTAAAGGCAAAAAACTTTTTTAACACAACTTCGAAGGATTTTAAGAATCGACTTTTACTTCAAAGATAAATTTTGTCAACCTAATTTTCTGACTCCAACCTTCGAAATTTTATTAACCGGGTCCCGAAAGTTTTGATACTTCGAACATTAACTTGAACCTTTATCTCAAAATTATGCTTCGGAAAAAGAATGCTGATAATCTGGCATAATAATACAATGTAGAGAAACTTGTCCACTCAATTAATCGTTGCAAATACTTAGCTATTGAAAGATGCCACAGCCGCTCAATGGTCAGGCGATACTTCTACAATACTCTTGCATATATTTTTCGTTTGAGGAATTCAAAAAAGCGAAGCGATGCGGGGTAATTAAATCGACGACACGCTTGCTAAGGCTTAGTGTGAGCTGCAACTGTCGAGCTCAACACAATCGGCAGATGAATGTATCGCCTGGCTAGATAAACTAGGAAATATTGGTCTATCTATGCAGCAAATGTGGTTAGGGTTATAAATGTTCAACTCACTCCTCTAATTATAATTGGAAATATATGATAAAATTTTAATTGTAAATCACAAGATAGCCTATACGTAATTTTTATAGATCATAATGATTCGTAGATGACATTCTACACCGTCACCGCATTTTAATATAAAAGTGCTCTCTGGATAGAGATAATCTATGAACATGGATAATTGAGTTTTTGGAAACAGTTATCATCAAACGAGTACGGAAATTTTTCATGATTTAAAGACATACGTAATCATTAATTTCTATAACTAAAACTAGAGACAAGTTATATTCATATACTATATATAGCGATAAATGCTCTATTAATCTTGAAAACATATATCAACAAAAAATCAATATATTTTTGATTGCATGAAGATAGATAATCAAAATACAAATTAAAAAAAGTTAATATAGCAGTGGAGATAAGATTTAAAAACAGTTTGCAAAAATAAAAAAAACGAGCAAAGCATGATTGAAAGAATTATCATTATTGAAGAATTGAGCTAGGCAATTTTGAGAAGATTACTAATAGACTCTTCGTCTCTAAGCGATTCAAGAGTCTTGCTGCAACATAGATACATTTCTGTATACGTGTGCAGCAAGACTCTTGAATCGCTTAGAATAGTTATCCTCACTCTTGCTACAGCATACTTTCATTATATGTATACAGTATCCCGACGCATAGGAGAAAGGATAAGTAGTTATTCACGCAGAAGCCCAATCATTTACCTATTGACTTGCTATTTGCGAACTTTCGTATAAAAGACGAGTTTAGATTTATATAGATTATTATAGATTATATGCAGCAGATTTAAAATTAATTTAAGGAATTTTATAACTTGTCAGCATTCGTTTATAATATTTTATAAGTGCATCTCAAATAACATTTTTAGCTTGACATAACTTGAAAATATTAACGATAAATATACATAGAGAAAATACAATAGTAGGCATAAAGATTAAGAATAAAAAGTTTATTAAGAGCATTCATGTCTTGAATATGCATAGATCAGAAAAGTCTTCCCAATGTTCCACAATATAATTCGTTATCTGTTCTACTTGCACAATGGAAGCATTACAAATTAGCATTTAATGTTTCTTTTTCATTTTGCTTTTCTTATTGCACTTATATTTTCATACAAGCTTTCACTGCCAGCCGAATCAGATACTTCTTGTGCACGATGGGTTATATATTCATAAAGATTGAATGAATCAATATATTCCAGCATAATATCGTAGCAGAGTTTATAATCATCCTAGGAAAAAATATAAATACTCAAGTGTAATATATATTTTGATATTTCTAAGTATGTTGGTTCATATATGATGTGCCTATTTTCGGTATTTTTATATTGTATTTATGTTAATGAACGCCGATTTGGAGGAAAATTAATATTTACATGCCGTGACATTTTTGAGTTCGACAGTTTCCGTATTTTATTTTTTTAGTCTTGAACTAAATAGACACACATTAGGTACGATAAAACCTTTTTGCCTCGACTTTTCACGTCGGGAATTGCATTTAATCTACGAATATTACAAATATAATAAGTTAGGTATATTCTATAGTTACATAGAAAACGAGATTAGCACTCTCCTTGCTTTTCAAATTGGTAACGAAAATTTTATCATCATTTTTTTTTCCAAACGCACCGCAGTGATTTTATTGAATATTGTACGTTTGAGTTACAGGTGAAACATCAATAAATATTTGTACAGTGTACCTCTGTTAGAACCATTCCGGGTCGGCAATCTCGCAAGTCTTTCACAGTTTGGAAAACATTGATTCGTTTTTCTACTTTGAATCTTTCACACAAATTGTATATTGCGCAAAATATGCCAGTGCGTCCTGCTCCATCACTATAGAAATAAATTAAAAGTTGATACAATACTATGTAAACGTATTTTTATTGACATTAGTTTAATATAAATAAACACATATGTGTATAAATAATTAACAAATAAATCTAACAAATGCCTTGAATTAAATACTCCCGAATAGCGCGTTTCCCAATAACTCGACGAAACTTAACCAAGGACATTGCACCTGTTTACTTTTGCACTTACCGACATTTGCATCCATAGATTTCAGCCCCCGCATATAGATTGCACCTACGGACATTTGCACCCATGTACATTTGCACTCACGGACATTTGCACCCACGGATATTTGCACCCTTGCACATTTGCACCAACGGGTGTTTGCACCCGCGTACATTTGCACCTACGTACATTTGCACCCTTGCACCAACGTACATATGTACCCTTGCACCAACGTACATTTGCACCCTTGCACCAACGTACATTTGCACCCTTGCACCAACGTGCATTTTCACCCTTGCACCAACGTACATTTGCACCCGCGTACATTTGCACCCTTGCACCAACGTACATTTGCACCAACGTACATTTGCACCCTTGCACCAACGTACATTTGCACCCTTGCACCAACTTACATTTGCACCCTTGCACCAACGTACATTTGCACCAACGTACATTTGCACCCTTGCACCAACGTACCTTGCACCAACGTACATTTGCACCCGCGTACATTTGCACCCACGTACTTTTGCATCAAGATAAATGAGCACCCACAGACATCTGCACGCAAACGAGAAGGTACTTGTTAATAAATATGCAGAGGTTGGCTTACCTGCAGTGAACGAGCTTCTGTTGTTGTGAAAACTTCTGGAAAATTGAAACCAAGTTCAACACAGATGAGATATCGGGAGACCTTTCTGAACTCCAATTCGGATGCTGGTAATGCATGACAGGCTGAAATAGAGGAGATTTTTTTTTCAATAAAACCAAAGGTGAGTGTATAAGCTAGACCTATGTTTGTAATTGGTACTGGGACCCATGGATAGGTATCAGTATTATAGGGGTATCCCTATTCAAACTATAGTTATGCATTGAGTTAGATTTTAGCTTATTAAAAAATGTCATATTATCTTATGATTGCATTTCAGCAGGCGCCCTAAAAATTTAAAATGGTAGATCTACTGAAACTATGTCAATCAATCAATCAAATCGTTTTTATTAGCCATTCAGAAAAGCACAATAAAATGAAAGCAGAAAAGATCACAAAATATTTGTATATATTCATGCATACGGAATGGACAGGAAAACCGCAAAATGGCCATTCGGTCTACTGTCAGCGGCAATCTTAGACGGTTTTTTCACAAAAGTCTTATTTTTCAGTCAGTTCTGTTACAAACAGAACATTGACAGTAACCAGTAATTCAAACCGGTTCGCTGATCTCCTAAAATTTCGCGAGACGGTTCTATAGAACCGGTGCAAACCGGCTGAATCCCACCACTGTGTGCATCATACTACTGCATTTTGGTGATGTATTATGCCAGTAAATAACTACTGGAGCGAGAAATGAAACAGTTCAAGTCCAAACGACAAGAAAAATAGAATCTTCCAAATAAAGTTTATTTTTTTTCATGGCTAAAACACATACCTTCGATTGCCTATCTCTCGTGACAATTAATCTGTGTAAGATGATCTCATTTTCAGAACTTTCTTCAATCAATTCAACTCCAATGTTGCCAAATTGTAATTTGCCACCGATTTTATCAGGCCAATATTGGAAGCATTGTTGCTGAAGATAAGCCATATATTTGATTAATTCGGAGTTTTATTTACCAAACTCCCAGCAAGAAAAACGCGAATAAAACTTCAAAGTTTGAAACTAATAAATACCAAACCAAAAAGAGAACAGCGATAACGTAATCAAAAAGATGGTAATCATTTAATTTATTCAATCATCATTTAATTAAAGTTGTAATCATGAAAAACAATAATAATTGCACATATATTTGGTACCAAACACACTGCGAGTCAGTCCGTGCATTGAAAACAAATTCAGGATGCTAGGAAAATTCATGACAGGCATGTCTGAAAGACGTGCCATATAATTACGCCACCTTATCGGATTTCCTCTCCTTGAAATATTTGATATTTTGATATTTCGCTATCTTGTTATGTGACGAAGTCATCGCACTACTAGTATTAATTTATTTTCCTCATATTGGATCCTGTCTTATATCCTATCTGACCATACCTTTCCTCCATCCATGATTTGAGTTAACATAACGATAACACCAACATCGTTGTCCATAATTGCTCTCCAAAAATATTCGACAGTTGATTTCATCGGTCCTTGGGCAGCAATCATTTTACCACTTCGTCCATACGTCTGAGGAAATTCAAAACATTTCGTCAATGTTATGAAAGTTCAATTTCATAGCCAGACTTTTAATTTTGATTTGCTTTTCAACTACTAATATATATTTCTTCAGAAGACATAGTACGGATAAGTATAATTTAGGTATTGTTTGCATTTTTCATCAATCCACAGAATGACAAGGAGATTAACCCAAGAAATGAGGTGCGAAATTGTTGTTTGGCAAGAAACATACAAAATCAGCAAAGCAAACTCGGCGCCTCTTTAACAGAGAATTTGGAATTAATTTAGCTCCTACACGATGAATAATATATGCACATTGTAAATTTATGAAAATGGATCACATCATTTTTGATTTAATAACCTTGTCATTCTGTGGGCTGATAAAAAAATACCTAAATTTCACTACTAATCTATACAATGTTTCCTCAAGAAATGAACGCTCTACGAAGAGTACCTAAAAATCAAATCAAAAGTGTTTACTTACTTTTGAGACACTCTTTATATTAAGTTTACATGTATGCACACTATTCAAATGATTGTATATGTGTATTCGGTTGGCTGTATATGCATGTGGGATTGTATCTATATGTATATGATTTGGCTGTATATGTATATATTTGGCTGTATTTGTGTATCACGTTACTAACCCTACCCAGCAATGTTACCTCCATAATAGAAGCATTGATGTACGAGGTTTCTTTGTCCTCTGGCATTGGAACGATTACGACTTTGTTTCGTTTGTCTGTGAATATAACAGAAAAGTAGTTTGTATAAGTTTCCTTGATGAAACTATATCATATTTTTCAAAGTAATATATACCTTTTTTCATCAAGTTGATTTATTTATATTGAAATAGACTGTTAAACATTTATTCTCAAGGGCTATCTATATTTTGAGTATTATGATTTTTTTTACTTTTTACGCGGGCTTAATAGAAAAATTTACTGCTGGGAAATGCTTCTGACGTAGTAAGGTTATATCGTAAAGCATATAGAAAGGTAATGCTATGGCGCTACGCACACACAACACATAATATCAAATGTTCAATATGGAAAATTCCTGAGCAATTCATTCATTCAACTTTTCGCCCTGAAACCGAAAAATTTGCTTGAAGGTTGGTTTCACACTGTGAATTTATGACATTGTTTGCTACATTTGAAAACAATTCACAAGTTTTATGAAGACAGTTTAACAAATGCAATCAATGGAAAATACGCTTACATGGAATAATGTCTTGATTTCGATTCATTTTTCTGTATTCGTCTTCGTCGCCATGTTTCTTCAAATTCATTGGTGGAATTTCGGACAGATTTTGGAATTCTAGTAGCAGTTGATCATCGTTGTTCCTTTGAATATAAATAAACAAAAATTTGGTAGTTTTGTTTAGATCTATTTATTTAGTATGAATTATTCTAAAACTGTCTTTTTCTTGACACTTAGTAAACTTATAGATGGTTTTAGAATTGTTGTTATTATTTTAAATTAATCGCCGAATAATCGCTTGGCACAAAATGCCAAATAAGATGCGATATAATACAATATGTTCTATATTTAAGCAAGTTTTGATAAGATAAGTATACCTTTGCATCAGCTGTCGAAATTGATCTTCATCCATATCAGTTTCATCAAAAAGATGATGTTCAACCAATAGCTTGTGCACTAGGATATATTGGTCCTGTATATGAAATTCTGGTATGATCATAAAGGAATTGTCTTTTTTGTGAGTTCAAATCAGACTTTACTCAAGAATTAAAGTCTTTATTGGACTTACTGGAATTTGGAAGCTATTGCCAGTATTCGTGACATTCAGTTTTAAGAGATAGTTCTGTTTTGATATGTAAGGATCATTAAGTATGCTAAAATGGAGATGGTTAAGGGAAGCTACAGAGAATGCAAAAAATACAAATACAGTAATATTAACACATGTAAATTTGACCAATAACAATAGGCATATGCTGATTCCTTAATAACTACAGTGTTTTACATACCACGGTTTGGACCATATCTACTCTTTGTCTTCTCAATGTATGAACACATTCATAAACGTCAACAGCGTTTTCTTTTTCAACTTCATTCAGAAGATATTCATACGCAATGTACGTACCGGTTCGCCCGGCTCCAGCACTGTGAAATAAAAAGTATTGAAGATATTCATTTAAGCATTTCTTTTCTTTATATACCATTTTATTTCTATTTTTTATCGGCGTTTTTTATTTACCTGCAGTGGACTATTATTGGTGTTGAACAATTAATTTCAGAAACTGCTTTATGAAGTCTGAAAAAACCTGATGTTGTTACGGGGACTCCGTGATCAGGCCATGTTGTGAATTGAAAATGAGTTATGGTTTGCTTCAGCTGAAATAAAATATATTAAATATTTTATTTATATTTCTAATTTGTTTGATTCCTAATACACTACACAGTGGAATTATAAGATAGACTTATTGTATTTAAAACGGCCCAGATACATGAATTTGGAAGGTAGAAAAAGCCAAGACCGATCAATGTTTACGTGAATCACTCAGCAATGACTGGTAATCTCGACCACAACTATTCCCGCTGTATCGAACGAGCGGGGGAACCTACTTGGTGTACCAGCGATGCAATACTGCAACGTCATCCAAAAGAGGTAAGTATTCAACATTATTTTTTTTGTGTGGTAAGTGTGGAATAAAGGTAGGCTATACTTCAATGTAGCATACCCCATCAGTGGAAGTAGCTTCAAAAGATCGTCTTATATAACTTCCGACGTGTGTTTTTTTGACAGTCCTTACGGAAATTGATCCATACGACGCTGTTCTATCGACATCTGGCCAATACGTTTCACATTTTTTCTATAAATAGACAATTCACAGAAGTTTAAGTAAGCTGGTAGAAATACTTACCAAGATTCTAGTTTTTATGTATAACCAATATGATACGATAAACATAAAGAAGTTCGTCGTAGAAAACCGCCAAGACTTTTAAAATAATTTTAACAAGTTGAAGTTTTATATCATTCTATTAATATAATCTGTGAATGATCCGTTGCAACCCCAAAGAATCCCCATCCGAGGATCCCGGGATTTTCGGCCTTTTTTTCCATCCCGCTCTCGAGGTTATTTTGAATATAATCCCGGGATTTAATACGTGAAGTAGTTTTATTTTAAAACAATTTCACTGTACATTTCGTAAATTGTAGTTTATTTGCATTTCAGTTGTAACTAAAAAGATATTCAAATTTAGTCAAAAATGTCAAGTTTTGAAGAAATAGGCTCAGAAAGAGGCTGTTGAGAATGAGCGATTTTGATGAATTGATGATGACATTGTTGATGCTCATATGTTTTGCGTCAGTTTTATAAGAAATGAACACCACTGCTTATAATATTTTTGATGTTTGCGTGCGTTTTTTATTAATTTTATTAATCCGAGATTAGATGGTTAAAATTCTTAGAAATCCCGACACCAAGATTTCAAATCCGTTCTCGAAATAACAACCCTAAATCATATTAAACTCCATTTTGATGCACTATAGAGCAAATTGGCACGCGTTTGCTCACAATAGCAGTTTCTTCGTTGTTCAGACAAGTGCAACACCCACCTTTCCCCTTTCAATCAACCCGGTTAACATAACAATCACGGCACATTTTTGCTCGATTACCATCCTCCAGAAATCATTCACGGTAGCAGGTAAAGGACCTTGACTTGCAATGAATTTCTTGCGGGTTTCATATCCCTTAAAAATTTAAGGTTGGTTTTATTTCCAGCATCACTTGTTTAATCAAATGGATAAAACAGATTAGGATTGCTCAGGAATTCCTATCAATATTTTAATTTAGTCTGGTCTGGTCTAAAAATTCCTACAGTTGAGTGCCATACCGTGTTTCGCCAAAAATAAGACTGGGTTCTATTTCAATCTTGCTCGAAAAATAACACTAGGGCTTATTTTCGGGGGATGCCTTATATTTTCATTCATCAAAAACAAAATTACAAAGTAGAGAATTACGTAATTTTGGAATATACATAATATGAAAACCGATATCCATTTACTTATAAATAACACGTTTTTATTCAAAGTAACTGCACATCGTAGATTAATTATCAATCATTTAAAACGTGTAGTAAAGATTTTTTGCTATCGACTAGGTCAAAAAAAAAATCGCGTTACTGACTAGGTCATATTTTAAGGGGAGAGCTTATTTTCGGGGAAACACGTTTGCTTGGTTAATGTCACGGTTCATATCATTTTGTTGAAAGTATGACGTCACAATGGGAAAACTTACTACTTTGCCATGCCTGCGTTTAGCGACTCAGCCCAGTAAGCAAGTGGGTTGATTTCTGCCAAGACCTACAGAACGGCGCCTTTTCAGAACGAGGATATATTTGAAAATGTTGTTCATATTGACGTCCAGCGATTGAATGTTTTAATGAGTTCAAGTTAGACAAGTTAAGTAAAACAGGTCGTTTATTTACTTACTTCTGATATAGTACTTTTAGAGGTTGTGAGCGTTTACAGTGTATATAGAATATACAATACAGCGTGCTATAAGCTGCTAAAGGTGTTTTATCGTAATATGGTATAAGGTAATTCAGATTTTCTATTCAAACTTCGAAGCACTAGTTCAAATTTCAAAACATAAACTGGAGGAAAATGAAATCACACAGAATTTAAATGGAAACACGAAAAAGCTTGCACGAGTAAAACATTTTGTGTTGAAAACTTGATTTCGTCGCAGTTAAAATAACTTTGAATCTGGAATTGGGAGTCAGAGACAAAATTCTTGTCAACCTTAAGTTGGGATTTTGAATGCTCGACATTTTTAAAGTTCCGACTCTACGACCCTGCGTTCTTCAACCAAGGATCAAATAGACATTTGACTGGCAATTGACTTGGCAATAATACGCACAATATGTGAAAGATTCAAAAATAGCCTACAAAAGCGATTGCCATATTCAGGAGCAACATAGTTGTCTCCTTGCGAACTTCAATTTGGCCACTTACACATTGTATTCTTTTATTCTACGCAATTAAAGATATGAACATATTCGTAATAACATACGTACATGGATATAAGAAGCATTTATGTAGTCACTGTCACCTTCCCCATTCAGTACAACCCGGGTGGAATCGTCTAAAAATATGTGCGAAAAATCAATGCAAGCAATACAATATTTAATGATTGGTATACACAGTAACACTCCAGGGGCGGTGTAGTTAGCCCCAGAAGTTTCCCTTTTTTCCAAAGAAGGTGGGACCTTGCTTTTGCATGCATCTTATAAAATATAACCTTTACCACGTACAAACAACACGTCAAGGTCGCACTTTTGACTCCTTCGTTTTTACCATACAAATATGTCCTCTCATTAGCCTGTGATCTAATCGATGACACGATTTTTATATCTGTATTGTTCTAAGAGTTTAAAATATACCTCACACTACAGCGATTTAAAATTGCTTACAAGGAAGAATGTTTTTATATCTGTTCTTTTTCATCATGTTTGGACGAGATGCGATTTCTTTCGTTTCTTTTATTAACTTCACAACTTCCTTCAATTTCTAAAAAAGAATAGTTTATAATGCAGTATAATTGTAATACGAATGCAACTTCAACAACTATTCGAACAAGTAAAGAATTTATTGAATTTTAATTGCTTGAGGAAAAATGACGTAAACTTTTAGATTGTCGTTTCAAAGCTCTTACTTCAAATTGGATCTTGAACTCTCCATTGTCACTAGCTTTCATTCTATTATAAGTGGTCAGGAGTAACTCGGCATATATTCGAGTTTCATTTTCTATGTCTACCGTCTCCTTTTGTAAGTTTTCATATGTGAGATCTAAAAAAGATGAACACATTTCCCAAAGCCTATGAAGTTAACCAAATAGCTTATTTTGGAAACGTCAAAATAACCTGTTTTTCAATTTTGTACGCAAGCAAACTACTGATTCCCAACTGGCAAATCAGGTTAATTAATGGAATGTTTTCATAGGTATTCCCACATTGAAGTAAACCCTTAATTTTTATTTATTTTTTGAATATGCTTTTATGATGCGACTATATGTTGAAATGTGGCATTCCGGTGTCTCATATTATTGTACAAGGAGGCAATTCGGAATTTGATATGCGTGATAAACGGAGTTTAAAACAAAATTTATATTACCTGGTGATGTTGCAGTCTCGGACATTGCAATGCTTGTGTCTGTTTTATTTTTTGATGATTGATGCCTAAATATAATGAAATACAATATAAGAATATCTTATGCAGTAAAATGGGGGCATAACTTGAACAGATATTCACAGGCAACAGCGAAATGAACACATAAGAACAAATATAAATAATTACCTTTTGTAACAGACAAATAAGGTAATTGTCCCTGCAATGGTAACAACGACAACTAAAATGATAACTACAATGAGCCAGGTTGTTGAAGCAGCTATGAGAATACAAATATAACAATCGATAAATTAAATTTTATCAAGTTGGTGGCAAAATAGATAAATTACACATACAATAGAATATAGATTATTTCGGGTTTAAACATCTTGCAATATGATAAATATACCCTTCGTTATACACGATTAAGCAGGATCTCTCCGATCAACAGTTTTGGAAGTCGGAAAAGGACTTATTCTGAAACATCTCTCATGAACAACCAAAGCCATTGTCGGATGGGTATGAAAGGTTCACTACAAGTATTACCGTCAGCTTTGAATGATTTTGTAGCGCTCATTCCAATGTGTACCTCTCCATTTGCGCCGGGAGTTGTTGTGACCATGGAATACCTAAAGTATTGAATACTAGAAAATTACTTTGCGAAAAGTTTTATTAAGATTTTAAATACGACTTTTCAATCATAAAAATAAATCGATCTCCCGACTGATAAATTTGGATTTAAGCTCAATTTCATCGAATAAGCGTTTGGATAAAAACAATAACTCTTACTCATAGAATTTTCCCTCATTTAAAGGAAAATTTTTTGCAGCAAGAACCATCTGGGATATTTCTCTCTTCTTTCTTTTCATGTTTTGTGTTGCATTGTGAATATCACAGGAAGTTGACGCATCATCACCAAGTGACACAATAGTATCTTCAAGTGGAATGTTTGATCTGTGAAAAAGAAATTGTGCAGAATATTATTATTTGTATTCCACTGGTCAAATGAAATGAAAACTGTAAGGCGGAAACCGATCTAATAATAACTTAAATGTAAAAATTTTACGAATACTTTCTGCTTGTATTTTTGTTAAAAAAAAGCGCTTTCAGCCAAAGATATAAGATAACGCGCTTTTTGGAGGCCGAGCTATACAATCAAATCAAAAAAAATGTTTTGGGCGATAAAATGAAATTAAAAACTGAAATTATCGAATCAGTGATACTTATAACACATCTGGCAGTATGTGCCAACCTTGTGAATAAATTTGTGAATGTTTAGAACAAAATGCCCGACCCAACAAGTAGTATCTATAATTCAAAGCTGTGTCTAATTTCGTTGTGCAAAACGGTAACACTCAACCTGATGTAACAAATTCGATATGAACCAAACATTTTCTACCTATAAGATAGAAGCTTTACACGTTTCATTGAATTATGTTTCATGGAAACATGACTTTTTCCTGGGTCCGTTGTGAATACGTACGAACCTTGCTATGGCAATGTACTTCTGACCCACATGCGGTTTAGACAATTTCGAATTTGCTTCTGCTTTCTTCAAATCTTCAATTGTGAAGTTAACGGAAGAATGCTTGCTCTGTACTTGTTCATAAATGTCAACGACAATAAAGATGCAACTGGAAAGTGAACGAACATTTTTTCACCCTGTTCGGTGAATTAACATTTCATACCAGGGTATTAGGTGAATGAGTTATTGGATTCAATGATAACAATTTGATTTCATTGAAATCATCCAGTTTATGAGCTCAAGGTTATGATTTGACAAGGTTATGATCCTGCTAACAGTTCATGAACTTTTGATCTGCAGTGTGAAAAATACATGAGCAAGTAAAACCGCTGCTAAATTTAATTTATCGCTTTACAAAGCAACATTCTCTATTACTTGTACCGTATTATAGGATGCAATAGCTTGTAATATAGGATGTAATAGATTTCTACGTATTTGTTATCTCGAAACGTGATTCTTAGTTCTGAGCTGACATACGCAAAAACACCTATGACGTAGTTTACTTACTCATACGTATTCTACCTACCTGACTGGGCCATTGCTCTGGTCAATGGCTTGAATTTGAATATTTCTAGTTTTTGTGTCGCCTTTATTCTCCAAAATCTCCGGTGCGGCCACAACCGATGGAGCTTAAAATATGACAACATTAATAATTTGCAGTCACAGTGGATGTTACTTTGGTGGATATCATCAGTATTCGAATTACACTCGGCTGTCTGTTGCTTTGCACAAAGTGAGTTATTATTGACAAGTGTATAGTATTACAAATTACTATGTTTGTGACTTTTCTAATTGTTATCGATTAATAAACTATACTGAGAAAGCGATTGTTTCAGAGAATAATGAGAAAGACGACTGCGTGTTTAATAATTCGAGGACTGAAGAAGGAAATAAATGTTAAATCTGAAGCATTACCTTCTGTATCGCTTGTGCAATTGCCAACAGCTCTGGACAAAATTCCTGGTTTATCACAAGCAATCGCTTGAATGAACACTGTGTAGTTTCTATTCGGACTCGTATTGAAGGAATGGTTTTGAGCGGAATTGAATGAAATATAAAACGTGTCATTGTATTTCTTAGATTCCAAATCTTTGGATCCAATTTTAACCAAAGTCGAATAAGCTGAAACCTGTCATAAGGAAACTAAAGATCCATGAATGTTGCCTACGAGGTCATTCTAGGCTTATATTAAACCCTCAATAAATTTTTACGGTTTTCAGAGCATCCGTTTTTTTGACATGGTTAACATGAGGTAAAGTCTTAAAGAAAACTTGCATGGATAAGTTATTATTTTGGATTATAATGTAAGACATAGGAAAACAACTTGCCTTGAAGCCAGTGATATATTCTGAATCATTTGTCTTCGACCACGAAATCTTACACGTTTTATCACCTCGATGCTCTTCTAGTTTGACATCTCGTACCACGTCAGCCTGATTGATGCCTGTTTTCACTTTGACTACTTTTCCGGGGTTTGTTATGCATGTTTCAAGACAGATTGACATCTGGAATGAGTTGTAGAAAATATGAGTCTTTGAGCTATCCAATTAACTTTCTTAATTTAAATAATTCGAAAGCGCCTTGAAGTGAACCATAATAATGCTGTGAGATTGTGACGTCGTACATACATCAGTTGACTTGACGCGATCATAGGTAAGCAATCAAGAATTTGATGTAATCAGTGCAAAAATCTCTAAGATCTTTTTTATTTTAAAATTTCAGAGGTTGTGTAATTATTTTAGCAAAGTTAAGCAGCACGTCACAGATAAAATGTAGGATTACAAAAGCAATATGAAATCCATACCCCCTACAAAATAATGCATATCAATATTGTTTATATTTTTCTATTATTTCATAGTCGAATAATTTGTTTTTTATCTAGTTTATCTATGTTTTGGCGGTAATATAATTCTATCAATCACAATCCTTTTTATACTCGGTAGCTAAAATGGCATTTGAAAACAATAACATGCGTAACACTTATACAATTTCAAAATTATTATTTCTATCATTTTTAACAATACCTCCACAGTATACAGCGATCGTTGCGTCAAGTTTGTGAAAATATTTGTCATTGTTTGAGTATCAGATGGCGAGATCTCGATAGTTTTTCTATACTGCTCGCCTGATAATATAATCCTGTGCAAAGAGGAATGCAATTCTTTAAAAGTGGTCGACAATAATGAGAACCGACCAGGCACAAAAATTAGGAAGTCCAATGGTAAACGAACTCTAGTTTGCATAGCAAAAAATCAATACCTTCTATATCTTTATTAGGTATTTTAATTAAATATACTGATAAAGAGTAGATATCACATGCTAATTTTTTTTAATGTATATATATATAAAACAATCTTGCGGTAAGCCAGGCATTTCTCGAACACTAAAGTTTATATTTATTAATATAACTTCAAACCAATAATACTATACCTGTGTTTTATACGGGTTGCTTCTACGCCGGGAATCCACCTGACTTCAATGTCTGAACTGCAGTTAGCTGACTTTGCAGAGTATTCAGGCATTTCAATAACTAAAATAATATTATTAAAATACTCATATTTCAATTTAACATTGAATTTATGGTAGGCTTGCACGTAATTGACAAAAATCGATTCCGTAATTACGACAGAATCAATTACGTATTGACCCCGTAACTGCGATATTTTTCCACGCATTTAAACCTATCATAACAACCAATTGAATCCACTTCTTTTCCGAATGGGACATTGAAGTTGGGTTTTTTATATTCTTGGCAGTACTACACGCCGTCGGCAGATGTTAAAGACAAATATCAAGGAGTGAATTCAAATTAATTTTATTCTTGATTTTTATCTTTTGTGTTAGCTTTGGTTTTCCTTTATCACCTTCGCAAATTAACCGTCCCATTTTTATGCGATCAATTTTATTTTATTATTACCGACACTGGTATACGGATATTTATGGAAACGATAGTTTTTTAAAACCACCTTAGTGCTGAATAAAAATTACGGGTTTCTAATTTATTAACTAACGACGAGCGTATTCTCTCGTTTGATTATACTTGCGATTTCCTCGCGACGAAGACTTGTTTTTGCAGCGTCTTCTGCAATATCCGATATTACTGCCTTGTTAGTATTTTATAATAATAATTATTGATGTCGACTTATTGACGATATTCCGATTACCATGCTTCAGTTTACATTTAATCATTTCGCGGACTGAATGTTTATAACATTATTTGCGATAAATTTAGGATCAAATATTATTTATTTGAGTATAATTTAAATATGGAACTTATATGATATGCCTTCTCCGAAAACACAAAGTTATTTCGCAAAACAATGCATTTTGTGACATTTATTTTACACTCACGACATTTATTTGCTAACTCAAGCGTCGATCCTATCGGCCAAGATTGACACAAGTTTGGTCGAGTCCCGGTGGTATTCAAGTCGACGATAAATCAAATTAAGTTGCCGCATTTGGTAAGACAGTTAATCATATATGGCCGAAATATTGAGAGGAATTGTGAAAAACATCATGAGCAAGGCCAAGTCCGGACTGATATATAACGATAAAACCGTTAACAGAACATCAAGATTTTGTAATAGAAAATGGATCTCGCACAGAATAAACACACTGGCTCATATTTGATTATATATGATAGCAGTTAAATTTTTAGCGGTCCGCGAGGAATCCGTCGTTTTGCTGTTTCTCTGCCGTCTCAATCGCTTTACCGATGCCGAGAAGACGAAGTTGAGTCGGTTCATTACGCAATCTCTCTTTTGTCGTCATATTGCTATTTGATAAGCGCGACATTAATTATCACGGCGAGGTATTGGCGCGAGTGATCAATCGCTCTTTTCGCTTATTCGGTTCCAATTCGTCGCGAAAGCTCTTCGTTAAATTTCACAAGATCGTCGTGCTGAAAGGTTATGGATATTTTCCTGTTTATACCCCAAGTCTGAAACAAAACAGCCAAAAACAGTATGATATTCCATGTTCATATATCAAGTGTTGATATTAACAATAAAGAATGGTTGAGCATTGCTAATCCACACTTGGTGGGGAAATCCCACTATTTAAACGCGTGACTATAAAATAGAAACGGAACATATATATTATATACCATAAGTAACGGAAAACTGGAACAAGTAAATAGTAAATAAAAGTAAAATGGATACAAATGTTTGATAGACCATGTTTGAAAGATTGATCTCCTGCGTTCATTAGTCATTTCACCCGAAGAAGTTGAAACTGGGCGTGTTAGCGTCCATCGGTCTTAACACAATTCTTCCCCCTATCTACGGGTATTATGTACATTGGCCATGGCCATGCTAGATAAGAAGCGAGAGAAGTTGAAAACAGGTGTGTTGGCGTCAATAGGTCTCAACGCAATTATATCCCTTATCTACGGTTAAGTTACGGGATAAGTTAAAACCAGGTGTGTTGGCGTCAAACGGCCCTACTCAGTTCTTCCTCCTTAACTACGTTAATAATTTACATTGGCCATGCCAGAGAAGTTGATAATAGGTTAGTAAATGGCAACGCGTCAGGCCTTCCTTCACCTACGTAACAAGAGAGAGAAAAACGGCTGCGAATACCGGAACTCTCTTCTACTTGTTGAGCTTTCATTTTTCGCAATCGACGAAATTGACTGCTTTGAAGAAAGCTCGTTTCAATGCAATAATTACGACTTTACGTAATTCGTAACTTCCCTTCCGTAACTCCAAATAATTACGTAATTCCGTAAATTACGTGCAAGCCTAATTTATGGCGAATGAATGGATGCCTTCATTCATTAAAACATATATAATGTGTTTTCTGGAACTTCATTAAAAAAGTTTCATTCCAAACCAAATACACATATGATTTCAAATTAGCAATTGTAACATTGCAGATATAACATTAAATTGATTTGTTACAATTTTGTACCTTTAGCTGTTTTGGTAATTCCAGCTTCAGTTTTATCTTCTCCCACATAATTAGTCACACGGCAGCTATAGATTCCAGCGTGTAATTTGACTTGACCACTTGACTCAAGTTTTTTGAAATGTAATACCGATTTTAATGAGGAATTCATCTGGTGAACATCCAAATTCCTATTCCTATCGACGACTTTTTTCCCAAAATACCATAATACAGAAGGACTAGGAAATCCGGTAGCGTAGCAAGTAATTGTTTGGTTCTGCTTTGATGGGATCGCAATACGAGATGGAGTTATATCGGTGATATTTGCTTTCTCTGAAATAATTGAAATGGGCGAAATGATGAAAACAGATCAAATAGACAACTAATTTAGTTTGGGTTGTTCAACTTTTCGTATTTTTTATGCAAATTTCGAAATGCCATGCAGTTTATTTAATTCTATCTTGCATAAATATTTCTTTGTAATGATTTATTGTTGAAAATTAACGATAGAAAATAGGAAAACCAATGGTTAGATGTTTTATCACAGAAAACAAGATCTTCCGATGTTTCAATGCATAGCTTGAATGATTTTTATGGTATACCCACCGTGAACAGCAATTGTTATATTGATGACGCGTTGCGCTTCTCCTGCCACTGCTTTGAACATGTACGCATGTCCTTCAGAGGCTGAATTCATTGGGCCAATCGTAAATTCTACGGTTCCATTCCCGACTGATTTTTCATCAAGGATACTTGAATTGCCTTCTTTGTAAAGTTTGATTCCGACTTCGCCGAGTTCAGACAAAACTTGAAGAGTTATTGTTACTGATTCGCCAATGAGATTGATATTATTCGATTGAGTCGCAGTGATGGACAATTTGTCTAAAATGATTAATTGAAAATAGTTAAACTTAGGTTTGTTGAATGGGGAAAATAGAAAGATTAAGGCTGGGCATTTCGAATCGAATAGAAAATTGTTCGAATCGGTTCAGATGAAAATTCCGAATCTCCGCCATCTTGTTTTATGTTCGCCAAATGTTGAGGTGAAAACTACAATTTTTTTAGTGAAGCCATGCTTTTAACATGCAAATCTGACACATGACTTTTATCTTCCGTGTGAGTTATTAATGAAACATGTGTCGAGTAATGGATTCTTTGTTGTTGTTAATCTATGTGTTTAGAGGTCTCATTACATTGAAAATATGGCATACAATTAAATCTCTTTCGAGATTCGAGATTCGATTCTATCCGAAAAAATATTCGAATCGATTCTGAAATTACCAGTTATTCGAAATTGCCCACCCCCAATAAATAGTATACGACGACCATCAATCTGTTAGTCGCATATGTTCGATATATATATTGGGTCAAAACTTGACAATGTCCCTTTGCAATCGGCAGAAATATTCTGACGACAAATTGTCCATGGTCAGAAAATGGTAAAGTAGTTAATGGATTTCTCACTATGGTCACAATATATCCCGCTGTATCCGTTATTACAAATGCATGCCATCTGACACCCGATACTTCTGCATCTTCCTCCATTCCTACATTGTATTGAGCGACAAGGATCAGTGACTATGATAAAATACAACAAGTATTGATATATGGATGAATTGTTATACATTAAATTAGTATAAAAATAAATGAACAGCACAAAACATCCGGTTTTCATTCAACCAAATGATATTTGGTATAAACATCTTAAACATTGACAAATAACACCTTTCACTAATTAAGTGCTGAGTGGACAATCTGTCAGATTGAAAACTTTTATAAGATAAGAAACTGCGCAGGATGACTTGTTCTGATGAAATACCAGACAATAGGGGGGAAATACATTTCGTAATACCTTAAAGCGTATTTGGTTAATTTGTCATTTCGTAAAATCTATAAAAAATATTTGACAACAGAGGGTAAAGACCACATGGATTAAACACAATTCCATACATTTTCCCTGATTCCCAAATTGTGTTCGTAAACATTAAATTTATAACAGAGACAAATATTGAACCAATATATCAGAATTAATATTATCTATTAAACTTATATTGCCAATTATTGAAATGTTTAAAATTTAGTGTAACATTCTATGCCAATTCAAGATTTTCTGAAGTCTACCTTATTGTTTCATTCAAAATCTTAAAGTACTGATATGTAATGTAAAGATTTACTCGGATTTCAGTTGCAATCAAATGCAATTGCAGCCAATGTTAGACCTGTTGCACAAACCTGGTAATTCACAGATAAAACCTCTTTTATCATCATTTGTTCCAGAAAACCATAGTAGATCTGTGTTTGATGCTCGAACACTGGTATTGATATATAGTTTAATCCCCGCTCCAGGTTGTTTACTTGCCCATTTTTCAAATCCACCAGTAGAGAATGGCTCGCCGTCAATGTATCTCCAGAATTCCCTGTTGTCTTTCTTCGCACCGACCCAGAAAGTCATATTATTGACTGAACCAAATCTGGTTTTAATCGCTTCTTCTATGTATTGATGAACTTCTTCTGTTTTGATCATTGCAAGCGTTGCAGTATTATTCATTCTGAAGCAATAGGACTGAGCGTCGTAGTAAGTTCTCTTGTCCAAGTAGTTTAAATGGTATTTGCAATTTCCTCTAACGTTGAATACAAGTTCTATTTGCATTAAAATACATAAATATTTTTCATGTTGATTAGAGAACTGCAGTTTAAAGGGAAGCATTCTTTTGCAAACTTTCAATATGTTTACTTATAAGATTACTCACTCGGTCTACAGCAGCATGCCAAATTTATGTTTTTTTTCAATTAACGCGGTTTGAAGATTGCTGAACGGCATCGATGGTTGATAACTTTAATGTGTGGATTGTTGAGCCAATAGAAATGAATTCAAGATTTCACAGACCATTAACGATAGTGATTTTAAGTTGATCTTTTGGTGCTCCTGAAGTATGCGCACCAAGATGTCGCATAACCTGAACCCTAACCTGGTAAACAACCTGAGTTGTTGGTTGTGCGCCATCTTGGTGCGTATACTTCAGGAGGTCCGATCTTTTTTTACGTGGAAAAATGAGAAGCAACACAAAATAACAATTTTAACATTAGCCTCGTGTACACGTGGTCACATGAGCATACATTTATATATATCAGCGAAGTTCGTCTTGTTCGGTTAGTTTAGGCGTTCTCATAACACCTCCAATATAAATAAAAGTTAAGTTTTAGTGAAACTATTTTTAAACTTCGTATGGTAGCCGAATATGAAATGTGTTTATATTGGCAATATCTAGCCTAGGGAGTACTCTTGAAAGAATTAATTGATGTCCAAGAAACAGAGCGCTAGGCGCACTGAAAATTCAAATATATTCTATGGCGATCAATATCATATCTTCATAAAATTGAATATTGAAAAACGTTGTCTTAGACCACTTTTTATATTTTCAATTTGGATGACTAACCCCAAAACCTCATCTTAACTAAAATAGAAATTTGAGAATGAATTCAAAACCACCCCATCAATTGTGCACAAAGTTAAGCATTTAGAGTTATGATAAACATTTCAAATTTCGGCACTGGTGCTCATTTTATATGCACATTCACAAACACGTGATTTGACAAGCTGATGATAGTATTCAGATTCAAATTAGCAAATCGATTTTTTTCACTAAAGTTTGTTTGTAGTTTTGAGTATGAAAAAAATTACATTTACTTTTTTGGCAAATACTGAAAAACTCTCCACTGCAAGTAACATCAGCCCACTTCCGATGAAGGTGGTCTTCCAACGTAACTACACAATGTTCGTTAGCACCATTTGGTTCTGTCCAATCAGCATTATTAGTATACCTGCAAAAAAATTTGAAATAAGAAACCTCAGTCCAATTGCACTAGGTTCTTTCCAACAAGAAGTTTACCTGTAAAATGTGTAAATTACCTGCAAATTTGTGAACACCTAGTATTGATCTCTGTAATACAGCGGCACACAATAAAAAGCAAATCTTTTCAATGCAAGGTATCGCGTGCTGAACTACAATTGGATATATACAAGACATAGGAGTTGCAAAGCAAACACGGCCTTTATAAAGATTTTTCATTAGATTGCGTTGAAGTCAATCAACAGCAAATGCCGCGAGACAATCATGCCCAGGGAACAGCTACGCGAGATGAAATTTTACAAAGATTAAGCTCCTGCCACAAATAAAAATTTAACTTCTAGCCTACCAACAAACAGTGAGTGTTATTGGTCGTCTGCTACATATACAGTACAGTTTAATTTATCGCTTTTCGCAGTAATTTTATGATTTTCAGCGATTCCTCTGAATTGATATATATGCATCAGACTTTCGCAGATATCCGCGGAGGGTCGTAAATGGTGTGAACATGACTAATGAGTGAGATTAGTGAAAGTAGTTTTAATTAGGTGTGAAATTAAACGGATTTTGTCGCGATGGCGATAAGTCTCTGCAAACAAAATAGAAGTGTTTCGGACTTTTGGTCGTTAAAAACAAACAAAGTTATTTGTTGGAATCGATTCGACTTTAACCTCTAGGCAAAGACTTCAACACGCAATACCTATTTCTAATAAAAATGAAATAATAAAAATGATGGGTGGGTTTTCAAAGTAGATGAACCACTAAATACATATTTGCCATCTCATATGCAAAAATACTGTATCTTGTTTTTACTCAAGAAAATAAGATTCTTCATATTTTTAAGCTCCCTAGTAATGAAAGTGTTTTATTAAATTTAACTGTTTCACAATATTATTTTGATTTGTAGTTCATCTTGTGAAATATGTATGTGGCAAAGTTTGCGGCCCGCTGGGCCTTCAGATTTATGCTTGAGGCCCTCGTGGTAATTTGAGTTGTGCAGGCCTGCTCTAGTATATGGTAGTCCCTTGCTCTGCAGTGAATGCTTGCGCAAAGCTTTGTTTGGAGTGAAAGACGTATCACAGGCGTCGTATTAAAAAAAATATTTTTTCTGTATCTAAACTTTTTCGCGCAGTAACATTTGAATTTGACAATTATTTACATAATACTAGCTTCAATCAACTTACCAATTTTTGTAGCTTGCTTTCGTGCCATCTGACCAAACCCATTCCCCTTGGTTCCTAATATCGTTCAAACTGATGAAGTATCGTTGATGATCAGCCTTACTTGCATTTTCTCGCCTGCATGTTTTTTTATTATAAATGATACATTTGTTCGTTACTATCAAAATGGAATGCGAAAACGTTTAATTTAAGTAAAGTAAATTTAAACGAGAATGCTTTTATATAAGAATCAACAAAGACAAAGACATGAATGCAATATTGACACTTTCCTCTTTGAATTGATTTAATAGAATGGTCGACGTCACACACGTATTTGCATCGACATTTTTAATACAAAGTAAACCTGACAGTAAAGTTCAAATATCAGTGAAGGTTCTGTTGAAATATCGATCACCATGGGAGTAAGATAAAATTCAAAAAAAATATTAGAAGCAGTGGTCCTTTTGCGTTTCCAACTATCGTTATTCACTTAGAATTTGATGACTACTGGTTCATTAGTTTCGGACAACATCAATTTTATTCCAACGGCAATTATTACCCCGACAATATATTATCCCCAGCAACAACAGGAATTTAGCAACGATCCGTGTGTACACTCATTGTTAGATATCGCAATCAGACAAATTTTTAAATTATCTAGAAAATATTTTTTCAAACAGATTTTTAACGTGGGCTGTGAATATTTATTGTTATTCGTGACTTCGCGTTTGGTTTCTTTTCGCGTTTATTCCGCCATACTTGAACAATGTCTACCAGATTAGCGATTAAGTCACACACCTACAGAACCGCTTCCGTTTGTCAGTAAAATTTCCATTTTGAGTGTTTATTTTAAAAATATCAGTTATTTTATCGAACTGCATTAAAAACATTTTTGTGTCGAAAATGACTGTTTGCACAATGCGACTTTACCTTGTAGGAAATGACGTGCTGTATGTGTCAGTTGGACGAATGTGATAAAATAAGGCTTAGTGCATGGTTATTGCCACATAAGGTTGAAAGTTGAAGAAAGCAATGACACTTACCTTGTGTTGAGCTCTTGTACAATGACGTCGTTGATGTTTGAGTCATTTATTGTAACCAACTCCGACCCTCTTTCCTCGCACGCCTTCTTACTATCGGTGTAATTTCGCAACGTCATATGATTAAAGTACAGTTCCATGTCTTGGTAAAATATAATGTTGTTTGCATCTAAATGAATGCAGGACACTAAAAACTCTTCGTTGCAGCTTTTTGGTTTATATTACTAGCAAACTCTTCACTAGTGCGCCCACCTTATTCTAAGGTTGGGCATTTTCAAATAGCTGATGATTTCAGAATCGAATCAAATATTTTTTTTCGAATCGAATTGCGAACACTTCAAAAAAATGTATTGACTGTTTTATTGTAAGGGGTCCTCCAGACACATAAATTAGTGAAAACATGTAATCTATCCCTTAGACTGCCATGACAGAGTGTTCACACACATGAAGCATGTTTCATCAATAATTAACTTGTCTGAACAGATTCGAATAATTTACTATCCGATTCGAAATGCCCAGTCTCATGGTGTAATCACTATATTGACTTCCTGATTTAAATTTGATTCAACAGTGTTTTTATTATTCGGGTTACGTATCAATCCTTTAGTATGTTGACCTACTACATACGCTTGCCGCTGGTGGAAGCACAACGTGTGGGAAATTAATACGAAGAAATGGGAAGTCAATTTAAAAAAAATCTTTAAAGGGTACTCTCGTAGTATCTGAACCAAGCTCGTAATAGAAGTAAAATAAGAAAAATTGGAATAAAATTATGGCCTAACTCTTACCTGGTAAACGTACTACGTTCATGTGTACGCTCGCTATCTTGGTGCACATAATACGGGAGCATTAGTCCGTGGCTAATATTTTCCACTCTCGAAGAAGGTTTTGGGTATCACCGTATGCTAATATCGTTATCATGTTTCTTATTACTAATTTGCTATCTATTTCCTTTTGATTCACCAAGTTGAATATATTTTAATAAAATGCTAACTATTGATGCATTGGATGCTGGCCAAAACATTCGTGTACTTATCCACTCCCGCATCTCATCTATTGTGTGTGGGATGGCTTAGTGATGCATTCGAATAAGAATGTCAGAGATGATTTTTTGTTCAAAACTGACGTTTGTGAAATGCGCCTTAATAAGCTTGTTTTAATGATATTTTAAAGTAACTGGCTTTTGTTATTATATTTCTATGCAAAAAGTATTTTTTAATCCATAACAGTGTTGACAGGAATTCTTTACTGGCTAGTTTGTCAAATGCTATCTACTTCAATGATATATATATTGCTTTCAGTGTAACTGCGGCTGTATGAGTTGATCACTCGCGACCATGCTTTGAGCGAAAATATGAAAGTATACATTTATTTATTTTTTTCGAAACTAGACTTAACAGAAAGTTGCACAATTTTAGATGAGTATTTAGTTAAATGTTTATAGATTACAATGTTTAAAATCCATCAATATGATGATCAAATTTCGAATTTCAACTTTTAAATAGGGGAACAATATGAGTAGGTTAGTGTTACCTGACTGACAAACATGATATCTTCCTTCAGTGCATGATTTTGCCGTCCATTTTCCATCGTACTTCTGAAACAACAGACATTTAGTTTCTTCAGCAACGTCTGACCTGAAAATATTAATAAAACCTAATACAATTTGTAAAAATGGAAAATATTTATTCACAGAGGAACTATATAATGCCTTTTAAAAATAAGAAATCGGCGAAAAAACACCATAGCCTCAAATCCTACATTCTTGAAACAATTCCATTTTCATTACAATATTCTGAACCATGGATATGTAAACAGATCTTCTTGTTTCTATCAATATTTTCATATTCTGATTTTTGTGGCATATTTTATTAAACGCTTTTCGGCTATTTGATCATCTACTAATCAATTACTGTTGTACCGCTTCTATTAACATTTTTGGAAACATGAAATTTCTTACCCATAACTATATTCTATATTAGATCCATCATTCCACGTCCAGTTGGTTTCCTTCCAAGTTGCACCAATCCAGGTATTCATTTGTGCAGACCTATTATAATAGTAATATGTTTTAATGGATTATCATTAAATCATTATTTATGTTTCTCATATTTTTCGCAAAGTAAAGGTCAAAGAGTAGTGGAAGTCCAATCCCCACTGATCACGCTAGGATGTTACATCAGCCCAATAAAGATAACCTTGCAACACGTTTATTAGATTGGTAGACTCTCACCGACCGAACTAGTTGAATGGTTAAAAGCTTTAGAAGGAAGTACTCACCTAATCAATCCCAATAACTCATTTCGTATTTTCTCATTTTTAACTTCGACAAGCCATGAGTTCCTTGATTCACAAAAATCCTTTGCTGCCGTATAGGTTAATCCAACTTGATTTGCTTCTAATCTGTATGATCCCGCGATTCTAATGTGATTTATTTCTGTGAGATAAGTAGTAGGATTTGGTTATCCTAAAAATATAATTTTTCAAGATAGTACACTGGCTCACGTTTTGCACTTTTTACAGTGGTGAACCCACAGTGACATTGTGATTATTGCCCATTGAACTAATTGTTAATATAATCCTATACTACCGTGTCCAAGTCGTGTTACTGTAATCTTGTATGCGAACATGCCAAGCTTAGTATACGGTCAAGAGCAGAATAATCTGGAAATACCGTGGTCGTGTAGGCTGTCAAATGCTAATGTATGAAACGCTTGAGATATATATATAACTTACTTTGCGATAGTCCGTTGACTGGGAAAACCAGTAGAATCAAACAGTTGAGGAAAATCATATTTCCTAGTTTGTAAAACATCTCATCTTTCTTCGAATTTACTTCGAAGTTCATACATTTAAATATACATATTGACGTCTAAATATATTCTGACGTATGAGAAAGACAATTAATCGAAAATGTCACTAGACATGGCTAATATAACATATCTATATTAACAGGTTAGTATTTTTAAATGTATGAAATGAATGAGGTATTAAAAATGTCATAGGACAAGTACGACATATTATAATGTTAGTATTTTTTAACGTATGGAACAGGAACATAAATTAAAAGTTGAGAGAACTGAGTCTTCTTCCATTATGTTATCAGGTTAGTGTTTTCTAATGTATGAAAACACTTGAGTATTGGAAAAATCCATAGAACTGACCTGACTACCACATATTATAAGATTAGTATTTTCCATTACTGTACAAAAAAAAGACATTATATTGAAATAGTAATAAACCTCATTTAGAACAACAAAAATACATGATTCACTGCCAAAACTCTTCTCTTCGATAATTTGAGTTTCAATACTGCCCAACTTTTTATCAAATGAAATTATAATAATTTAAATCTCGCGTCATCTGATATTTACTGACATTTAAAGAACGAGTTTTGTATCTCTTAATATTGCAATGATCTGTTTTGTGTTTGCCCAAATTTACTTCTGAGTAACCGCGCGTCATCTCTTCTCTTGCAAATTTTGATTCAAATTATCACAACTCCCAATGATACCAATCTCTTGCGGTGTAGTGTGCGATTATATAAATATGTCTTTGCCTGTATCTGCTGTCTAAATTTACCAATATGATGGGGCGTTATACATTTTCGTTATAAATTTCTAAGTTATTTTCAATGCATAAAAGCGCGCTTTACTGAACGATAAAAATTCCCTACTGCCGTCTTAAAATAAATATCAAATAACAAAGGACTTATTACAATTTCTGGTGGTATATAAGAGCATTGTCCTAGCAAATTCTGGTTGCTACTTGCTAGATGATAAATGTCATCAGTTAACATGGGAATTATAATGTAGGCGTTTCGCTTATTTTTTTACGAGTTTCAGTGGTTTCACTTTGAAAAAATATTCACGGAAATAATAAAACCTATTTTACATTGGTCTCTTTGTGATAAATGCAGTTATCACTATTGCATTTAGCGAAAATATGTAAAAGACATATTAATCATTTTATAAACTTTGCTATCAAGCAGAAATTAGAATTTACCTTTTTCAGAATTTCTCCTGAGAAATTATCCGGGTCACGCTATTATATGTTAGGCAGCTATAGGTCAGTCAAAAAGGATGTAATAGTATTATTATCAGCGCATAGGTATTCTAGAGTAATCGATTCCAATTCAATTTGCGAGAAAAAACACTCGACACGCCACGAACTTATTTACCTTAACATATTCAAATATATCAAAATGAAAATAAAATTGCATTTTGCGAGAAAAGACACTCGAGACACCACTAAAACACAATATTAATATTACAATGGTCGTTTTACTTTATTTACCTTAACATATTCAGTCCAAATTTATCAAAACAAAACTAAAATCGCATTTTGCGACAAAAGACACTCGACACGCCACGGAAACAAAGTATCAATATTACAATAGTCGTTTTACTTTATTTACCTCAACATATTCAGTCCAAATTTATGAAAACAAAACTAAAATCGTATTTTGCGAAAAAAAAAAACACTCGACACGCCACGAAAACAAAGTATCAATATTACAACGGTCGTTTTACTTTATTTACCTTAACATATTTAGTCCACCTTAATCAAAATAAAACTAAAATTGTAGCCTTGAAGTGCTTAACAGTTCTATCATTTATAAAAAAATCATTCCAAAAATACCTGCATGAGAAAGTTTATATATATATATATATATGCAAGTTTAGATAACCCGAATCATACAAAAAACTGTTGAAGAAAATCATATTTCTCAGCGTATAGAATATCTCATCTTTCTTCGAATTTATAAGTCCATGCATTTATTTAAGCAATATATTGACGTCTGAATATATTCCGACGTATGAGTAAGAGAAATTATTGAAAATGTTTTGCACCTGACTCATGTAGTAACACTTATTAACACGTTGGTATTTTCTAATGTATGAAATGAATAAAGTATTGAAAATGTTATTGGACAATTACGACATATTTTAAGGTTTGTATTTTCAATATATGAAACAGAAACATAATTTGAAAGTTGAGAAACTTGACTCATCTTCCATTATGTTATCAGTTTAGATTTTTTCTAATGCATGGAAACCCTTGATAAATGGAAATATCAATAGAGCTGACTCGACTACCACATATTATAAGATTAGTATTTCCTAATGCTCGGAAATGACGTTGTATTGAAATGGCAATAAACCACATTTAGGACAACAAAAATACACAATTCACTGCCAAAATTCTCCTTTCCAACAGTGCCAGTATTGTGCGTTTCAATACTATTAAACTCTTTATCAAAAGAAATTATACTGATTTAAATCTTGCGTCATCTGATATTTACTGACTTTTGAATGACTTCCGCAGCTCTTCACATTGCTTTGGTCGTTTAGTACGTGCTCAAATTGCCTACTTAGTAAGCGCGCGTCATCTCTTCTAGTGCAAATTTTCAATCAACATATCACATTTCCTAATAACACCTAACTCTGGCGCTGTTGTGGGCAACTATATTTGCAAAACTTACATTTCATTAAAAAAATATGTCTTTGCCTGCATCAGCTGTCTAAAATGTCCGATATGATGGTCCTTATACATTTTCGTTATAAATTTCAAAGTTATTTTCAATGCATAAAAGCACGCATTACTGAACGACAAAAATTGCCCACTGCTCTTTTCAAATATATATCAAATAACAAAGTACCAATTACACTTTTCAGTGGTATTTGAGAGCGGTGTCCTCGCAAAGTCCAGTTGCTAGATGATAAATTTTATCAGTTATTGTGGGATTCTAATGTAGGAGTTAGATGGCAGAAATAAACAGATATAATATTATATTCAAAAATTTTTTGGGGGGTCACACGCAAATTCAAAATATTGTTCGCGTTGCTAAATAATATACTAATTACTGTTTTGCTTATTTCTTTACAAGTTTTAGTGACCTTGAAAATATATTTATGGAAATAATAAGACCTGTGTTACATTGGTCTCTTTGTGATAAATGAAGTTATCACTATTGTATCTGCTAGCAAGCAACAGCTAACCAAAATTTCAGAATTTCACTTTTCGGAGTTCAACTTGAGAAGTTATCCAGGCTCAAATATTATATAATATGCAGCTAGGTCAGTAAAAAAGGATGTAATATAGTAAATATAAACGCATAGCTATTCTAGTGTAATCGGTTACAATTCAATTTGCGGGAAAAAACACTCGACACGACACGAAAACACAATATTATTATTTCAATGTCGTTTTGCTTTATTTACCTTAACACACATATACATACATTAAACAGTTCAAATACATCAAAATAAAACTAAAATTGAAATGCCTATCAATTATGAAAAAAATAATTCAATATTACCTGCCTGACAATGTTTATTCAACTTTGAATAACCTGAACCATACAACAAATTCAAAATCCTAATAACAGTGTACAGAACAAGATTATGTTTCGTTGAAACGACCTGTGAGAACAGACGCAATAATTCACCCAGAGAAAACAAATCCACTTGAAAGGATATATTTAATCACGATCAACATGAGCTTATCGCTTAAGCCTAAAACTTTAGAGACCATAATAAAACGCAATTCTAGAAACGCAACGCCGGATTTATTGCACCATAAATCGATATGGATAAATAATCATCGAAAATGCTCAATAATACTAGCTTCGCTCTGCCTGATATTGATTACGTTTCGTTTTCCAAATTTAATTCAAAGATCTGCACAAATAAATTTTGAATAAAATACGTAAATACTCTCAGGCAAATTTTATTATCGTTGTGTATAGGTTAGGGGTGTGCAGCCATCCTCAGGACAAATTCGTTCCAAAAGAGAAATTTTTACGGACCGCGAAACGAGTTTTTAATTTAGTTAAATTTGGAACGTGCGAGTATTGCAGCAAAGTCTATACCTGGGTGCAATTTATTATCTATGCCTGTGACGTTACAATGACGCAACAACTAGTTTGTGCGAAGCGAACAACACATGTCAGAAGGTGCCAGAAACCAAAATTTTTGTGAAGCAACTGCTAGAAAACCTATGTTAAATAAATCTACAGCCCGTGGTTTCAACCAGTTATCTGTATAGGGCCCTCCTGTATTGTGGTTGAACACCCCTGATATAGGTCATCGCCAGGTTGTCGTATAAAACTTGCGATTTTGTTTAAGTAATAACTATCGTTTCTCATTCAATATAACAATGTACCACACTTTTCTCAAATCAAGGCCCTTCAACCGAAAATGAAAATTTTATTGATAGATATCAGAAAGCGCTACTGAGGTGCTGAGAGTTTTATAGATACTGATACTCGCAACAGAGATGACAATAAGTAGAGGTTGGTGTGATACTTCAAACCAACCAAATGAACAATTGCTCAAAGCAAGGCCTTTCAAATCTGAAAGTTAAATAGGCTAAGTTTCTAATTTAATCTAATCTTCTAAGTTTCTACTGCAGAATAACATAACTAGCAGTTTAAAATATAAACAACCCTGATCCTAGACATTTAACCAAGCCGACTAATAACAACAGCAGTATGAGACCAACGGCAAACGAACTGAGTTTAAAATTAACCTAGCTTAGCTTTGCGCGCTGGTTTCAAGGAAATAATTAGATTTGCCTGAAATGCTAATTTATTCGTCTTTGAATAAAACAAGTGCTTTTACTGAGCTAGACGTAATATGACCTATTTCCTTATTGTCTCTCGCCTTTCAATACTACAACTGCTGGCTGTCAAACGCGGGCAGTGTTACGCACGTTATACGACTTGAAGGTTTCATGCCGGGTACTTATCTTAACCTATATCCTGTACGTACTTGCGTATTCTGCTAAAAAAGACTTATTGTGTTTATTAGCAAATGCAATCTCAAGCGAAGGTCGCCCACGGTCGGTATGAATTATCATGTCAAAA